CCCCAACAATAGTTCTGAACCCTGTCTTTTTCTGAGCCAATCTCACCATCTCTGACACACTGACAAAATCACTATGTCAATCCATCTCATGCAGGGTCTTCCTCTCTTGTGCGCTATCCCTCCACCCTTCCAAGCATGATGTTTTTTCCCAAGGACTGACCACATGCCCAAAATATGAGAGAAGCTTCAAAATCCTAGCCTCCAAGGAACAGCAGGTTTGACCCTCTCCAGGACAGATCTGTTTGTTCTCTTGGCAGTCCACAATATGTTCAAGACTCTTCTCCAGCACAACTCAAAGGCACTGATTCTTCTTCTGTCATTCGTAGTCACTGTCCAGCTCTCAGATGCACAGCAAACAACTGAGTTCGCCTCCATCAGGCAAACCTTAGTCTCTAGACTGACATCATTGCTTTTAAGCACTCTGGAAAGGTCCCTGAAAGCAGACTTTCCTAAAGCAACTCATCTTTTGGTTTTCTGACTGCTAGTGCCAAGTGATTGATTGTGGATTTGAGCAAGATGAAGTTGTTAACAACCTCAATCTTTTCTCCATCTATCATGATGCTGCCACTTGGCCTGGTGGTAAGAATCTTTGTTTTCTTAAAGTTGAGATGCAATCCATATTACAGTCTTTGACTTTCTGCAGCAAACGCTTCAAGTCCTCCTTAGTTTGAGAGAGCAAGGTTGTGTCATTTGCATAATGCAAGTTGTTATGGAAAAGTAAATCCAATCTACAATGAGAAATTATTTCTTAGCCATTAAGATGGCTATGATTTCTTTAATGGATAAAAAAAAGATATAGGCAAACAGGTAGAGAAACTGTAACCCTCATCTATTGTTGGTGGGACTGTGGAAAACAGTTTGGTAGTTCCACTCCCCCCAAAAAAAATCAAACACAGAAGTAACAAATAATCTAGCAATTCAACCACACATATGCTCCAAAGAATTAAAATCAGAAATGCAAAAAGAGCTTTGTATACCAAAGTTCACTGTAGCACGATTCACAACAGTTAAAAGGGAACTAGCTTAATGCCTCAAGGGATGAATGAATAAATGACATTTGGTGCAGAGATTCAATGGAGTATTACTCAGGCATAAAGAAAAATTAAGCATGACACACACTACAACACAAACCTTGAAAGCATTATACCAAATTAAATGAGTCAGGTACAAAACGATAAATATGATATCTTGATCTGGTGGCCCAGTGGTAAGAACCTGTGCTGAAATCCCAAAGGCATGCAGTTCAAATCCACCAGTTGCTCTGTGAAAGAAGAATGGGCAATATCCTCCCATGTGATTAACTTCCTCTAAAAACCCACCAGAGGGTCAGCTACGAGTTGGTTCTAACTTGATGGTACGCAACAATAATAACATGGGAAGTATATAAAATAGGCAAATATACAGAGACCAAAGTTTAGAAGCAAGTTATCAGGAGTAAGAGAGAAGGAAAGAGGGAGGGAGACTCAATGCTGAGAAGACACTGAACCTCTCCTGTTGCTGGGTGCCTCTGAGCCAGAACCAGCCCACAGCTGACCCTCTCACAGGTCTTCAGAAGTAGTAAATCATATGAGGGAAGAATACTCATCCTCCTCCACGGAGCAGCTGGTGTACTTGAACCAGCATGCCTTTGGGATTGCAGCACAGCTTCTTACCACTAGGCCACCTGAGCTCCCTGATCTTCTAGGGTATGAAAAGACCTCAAAAGGATAGTGGTTATGGTTGAACAATATGATCTAAGGTAACTAATGTTACTGATTATGTATGTGAAAAATGTTAAAATGGAAAATATTTTGTTGCATATAATACTATTTAAAATATATTACAACTATACTATATAAATGGAGAAGGAAGGGATGAACTTACAGGAAAAAGTTTTCATTGCATTACAGTCAGTATGTACATATATATTTAATTAGTATTTCCTGTACTATTCAAAGTGTGATCAAAAGGGGATACATAGAGCACGTAGGCAGGCTTACTGAAGACGCATACACATTAGCATACATTGTAGTCCTCAAAGGAGTTAACTGGCTAATTGGAGAAACAAGGTAAGTTTCCAAATATGAAACAGAATGGTTGAGAAGGTAAATAAACCAAATTCATTGCCAACAAGTTGATGCCAACTCAGTAACCCTATAGGACAGAGTAAACTCCACAGGGTTCCAGATAAGAGCAAACATTTTAGAAACGACTGAATGAGAAGAAATAAAAGAATCTTATCTCCATATGCTCATTCATTCGGACACATCTGCATTCACTTACATCTTCATATGGCTCTCTCACACCAGGTCCCAAGCAGGACACTAGAGATACAGAGATGAGGCCCACTCCCTTCCCCTAGCAGAGCCCACTAGTTCAGAGAGGTGAACATACAGGCTTGTTTCAGTGTGGCTGGGGTTGAGGGAGGGAAATCAGAGGCTGTAGGGGTTCAGGTGAGGTGTGTTGGCCTGGACCTGACTTCTCAAAGGCTAACAGCTGCACTGTCTTTTAAGGTTGATTGGGAATGAAGAGAAGAAGAAATGACAGGGAGAGCAAACAGCAGGAGCAAAGGCCTAAGAGGGAGTCATCAAGACACATTCGGGGAGCAATAAGCAGTTCCCATGACTGGGGCCTGGCTGCAAGGGAAGGCCACAGTGGGAGGTGAGTCAGAGCTGTGAGGACCGTGGGGAACCACTCACAAGCCACACACAGGCTGCACACAGGGCGACATCAAGCTGAGACCTGTTTTAGGCTGGAGGGAATGTCACTGTCACCCAGGTGAGAGAAGAAAGTGACCTGAAGTAGAATTTGGGAAGTGATGAATTTTAAACATTGTGAGAAGGCAAAAAATCAAAAGCTGCTGACCAAGGTGACTGGTGAGACATTTTGTAATTTAGAAAGCACTTTCATATCTGAATTGTCAACAGCTCAGTGAGCAGGATGGGACTGTGAACCAGATTTCACAGAAGGAGAAACTGAAAGAAAAAAAGATCAGCATGATATATCCCAGCCTTTGGGTGATGGCATGAAGACCAGACCGTGCAAGGTTCGAGACACCCTCCCAAGGGCTGGGGCTCCTGAGGGTGCACAGTTCTGCGGAGCCCACCCAAGAGGCAACACTTCCTGCCAGAACCAAGCCTTTCAAGCACAGCTTTGAAAGAAATGCACCCAAGTACAGTCCCCAAAAGTCTTGTACAAAGGATGCTGCTGTCTACAACAAATCCTGATTCTGATACAAAGAAATCAGATCTTGAGTCAAGGAAATTGGAGAATTTTTTCGTGGGAAAACCACTGTAAGTTTTGAATATATTCTCCCCGATGCCTCACGCAAGGCTTGACCCTAGACAGACTTCAAAAGCTGCCAAAGGCAGCTCAAGGGCGTTCTCACTTCAGCTACACCAAGTCTCCCGCCCAGGCACCTCCATTGCACTGTTTCACCTGCTTCAGTCTCTCCTAGTCTACCCTCTGAGTCTCTCCTAGATTCCATCTCCTCAAAGAGCTAAAAGGGCCAGGATCAGATCTACATTTAAAATGGTAACACTCAATGCTGGTGAAGCCACGCTAACGCTGCAACCTTTATATGACACATATCCCATGTAGGGGGCAATACAGCATCTGTCCAACCCCCTGAGGTTCCCCTAGAAGAAATTTATTCTAAGAAAATTGATTAACAACAGAAAGCTTATTAGCATAGATGTTTAAAAGCTCCAACTCAGAGACTATTTTACTAATTAATAATAATAGAATAACAGTTTGGTGTGACAATAACCTACAAACAATGGTTCAGAAGCTTCAGTAAAAGCTAAGGAAAGCATTTCGGATATGACAACGAGCAAAAACAGAGAAAGGATTCAGAATGGCACCAAACCAAATCGGAATAATATAAATCATGCCTGTATTTAATTGACAAATAAAGAGTAATGTGTGAATGAATAAACTGTTATTTTTAGAAAAATGAAGAATTCTTTTTTTTCTTCCTCTGACTTTTACAGTTTCGTCATCTTGTTGGTTAAAACTTTAAAATACACTTTATGAAGAAGGCAAGATGCAATGATTGCAAGTTCCAAAGTAGGTTCACTGTATGCTCTGGAATACATGGGTGTTTTCCTTTCAATAAAAGGACATAAACTGAAATCCAAGTAAGGAGAAGTGTAAACAGAACATTTCTTATTTATAAAGTATGTTGGTATCCTTGCCCCACTGTGGGCACGAGGAGGCTTATCCCAAGACAATCAAGGCTCTGGAAAATCAGGTGGTGGTTCAAGAAACACTAGACATGGGGGTTGGGAGATGGTTTCTAGCTCCATCACCGTCACCTTCTTGCTGCGCCATCTGGGGCAAGTCCCTTTCCTTCTCCGGGTCTTGGTTCTGTTGTCTATAAGGTTTAGAGAACAGCCTGGTTCACTGCTTTGAGCCTGATGAACTGAATTTTTCAACACTCTACAGTTCACAGGGGTGACCAGAACCTCAGTGCTTCTGCTTTCTGAGTTCCTTTCAGCTACTCTACCGCCTCTCTAGGGCTAGACAGAAACCTTGCAGGTAGACTGCAAAACAGGACCACCTTTCAAATCTCCCGCGATGCTTCTTCCAGATCCTGAAAGATACCGAACACCAACGTTAAAAACTCACTGCCTCTAAAAACCCTCTGGAGGGTCAGCTATAAGTCGGTCCCGACTTGACAGTAAACAACAACAACAAAAAAGCAACAGGGAACTAGAGGGGATTTTTAGCACAGGAGTGATTTGGACAGAACTAAAAGGACGAGAGGAAGCAAAAGCAAAGGCAACAAGGACAGCTAGAAGCCCTAGAAGCCTAAATTCCACTTTCCTGTGAATCAAGAGGCCCCAGATGGATGACACCATTTTGCAAAGGTGACAGCTAATTAGCAACTGGGCCCCCTGGTTCCCGATGTCAATAGGAATACATGTTCATGGGGCCGGGCAGTGCTCAGGGGCTGACATGTCACAAGTGGGCATGCAGAGCTGCACTTCCGAGACGTGAGAGGGAGGCAGGTACAGCACTGTGTTTGTCTAGCTCGAGGGGCCGCTTGGGGATGGACAGGGTTTGGACAGCTAAAGCAAGCACTGTTTTCTGAGCCTTCTCCTCACCCTTCGCCAGCTGCTCCTCCAGTCTGCTCTGCAGGGTGCTGTTGGTTTGAATGCTCTTCTCCAATTGCATCCGCAGGACCTGGATCTCTCTCAGGAGGCCATGGAGGTCACTGAGCGTGTCCTGACCCTTGCAGCCTTCTCCTGATGCCTCTGTGAACATGTGCAAAACAAAACCTTAGCACCTCCCATGACTCAAAGGTCAGTCATCAAAGGAACTCAAGAGATTTTTAAACCTGCCACCACCAGCCTCCTCCTCCTTCAGAGGACTAGGTACAATTTAAAATAACAACTAGCCTTTAAAAAACAAAAATATTGGCAGACTTAATTGCTGCTATTCCACAGGCTAAATAAGAGCTGGAAATTAATTTTTGCTTCTGGCCATAAAAGCCTAGCAAATTGCACACCAAACCCCGAAATTATGTCTAGTAGTAATAAAATCTATTTGGGCTGGAATTATAGAATGAAAGGGGCTGATTTTAAAAGCCACAGTATATTAAAAAGGCACAACAGCAAAAATAAGAAAAGCAACTTGAGGAGAAAATGAAATCTCTGAGATGACCCTTTTCTAGTAAACTTTCAATGGGGGGAAACCATCTGGAAAATTAGTTTTAAAAAAATCCTACGATACCTCAAAACTGATTCTGACCCATTAGAACTCAGACTACAGTCACTCCCTTCTGGTATCTCTCTCAGAATACTGAAAGGAACTGGGCTAGAAACAGCCCCAAAGCATTGTGCAGAATAAAGTAGGTGTTCAATAAACATTTGGTGAATGATTTGCTAAAGAAAATGATCATGAAAGTTATTTCTTTATGGCCTCTGATGTGCCAGGTCTCATATAAGGGTAGTGGGTTGGTTTGTGTTGGGGGGGGGGTGTGTTTAAAAAAATAAACTATCTCATTCAACTTTCTTAACAACTCAACAGAACAAACACTAGAAAAAGAAACAGGCCCAGAAGGGTGAAGTGAAAAGGTCACACAGCCAGGAAGGGAGGGTATCAAAATCCAGACTTCCAACATCCCGACTCCAGAACTAAGTCTTTTGATGTTTCTTACTGCTTCTTTGAAAAAAAGAGTGGCCCAAAAAGTTTGCTTCCAAATATACCTACTGCACTGACAAGGCAAGTTTAGGAGTCTGATGACAGTATTTAAGGAGCACAGAGGATTACACTCTCTCACCCCTGCTGCCAGCTGAGCAGGTGGGCTCAGCTCACAGCACAGGAGTGTCAGGATGAGAGGGGTCTCGGACCAGGGTGCCCAGTACCTCTGGACTGCCTGTGCTCTTCATCCAGTTTCTTGTACACCTTCAGCTCCACTCGAAGGGACTGGAGTAGCTCGTCATTCTGTGAAAGCAGCTGCCCCTTCAACTTCACTTCTTCTTGTGCCCTGAAAAGGGCCCATCACCACAGAGAGAAAAGGACAGTTCTGACTTAAGATGCCCCCTCACCACTCTCCCTGCCATCCCCTGAGCCAGGTGGCCAGTCCTACTTCAGCCAGAAAGTTTAGCCCCAAGTGACAAGCATGGTTAAGAATCAGTCACAGACACTATTCTTAAAAATGCCCCTTTGTGCCCTAACCCTTCCATACATGATTTACTGTAACTGTCACAGACACCCTAAAAGGGAGATGCTACTTTACCCATAATTCATGGTAGGTATAAGAAAATTAGCTCAGAAAAATCTCTCTTACCCAGGGCTGCACAGCTCAAAAAAGGACCCACACCTTAAACATAGGAATGAGCCCCAAGGCATGAGCTTGCTAAATTGCTGGGCCACCCTGGATGGCTGACAGTGAGGCACTCATGAGTACTGACAAGAACAACTGCAAACATGACCAGAGAGACATGAAGGGGAAATTACAGAGAGCGGTAAGCAAGGTCTGCTCTCGTCTACGTCAGGGTCTCCTCCCTCCCCTGCTGTCACACTCCCAGTGACTCCCTATGTCAGAACAGCATGCTAAGCCCTGACAAGGTCCTCTGTGATTCAGTGTCCATCCACGACCCTGCCTCGTCCCCATCTCCTCCAGACGTGCCAGCCTCCCTGCCCTGTAACGCAGGTTTGTGGACACTGTGGACCAGTGAGCCTTCTGCTGACTATGATCTTCCCCAGAGCTGCGGACCTCCCTCCTTCACTGACTTCAGGTATCTGCTCAAATGGCATCTGTTAGAAAGATGCCCGCTTTGTCAGGCCCTGGTGGTACAATGGTTAAGTACTTGGCTGCTATTGGGAAGGGTTTTTTTTTGAACCAGACACTCCATAGGAGAAAGATGGGTGACTCCTTTCATCTGCTGTCAAGAAGTGGCAGTCGTCTTGTGTAAGTGACAGCCCCGAGACCAGTGTGGGGCAGTTCTACTCTGTCCTAGGGGGTCTCTACAAGTTGGAATCGGATAGACAGCACCAGGTTTGGCGTTTTCATTGATCACCCCCCCTTGCGTATTCTGTGCCTGTTGGGCGTCCCTTTGTTTGAAGGCAGGAGGAGGACGTTGTGCGTCACGGTGGCAGCCTCCGCGGGGTTGGGTGAGGGAAGGCCTCTACCTGCTCAGCTCGCCGCGGTGGCTGTAGACCTCCTGGAGGAGCTGCTGGTTCTGTCTCTCCTTCTCCCCAGCTTCCGCCTGCAGCCTTTCATTTTCTTCCTTCACACAGGCATACTCTTGCTGTAGGTGCTCGAGTTTTGCAGTCTTTCTGGAGAGTGATTCTCGTAATTGTTCATTTTCTTTCTGTTTATCTGCAAAGACAAAAAGAAAAAAAAAGCCACTGAGAAGGGAAAACCATTTGTTTTTCCCAACCTTATTACGCAAATACAGCACTTCAGCCTGAGCACTCCAAGAATGCAAAAAAGAATTCGATTTAATCTGGCATTTATGATTTTAGCATTCCAATTATCTTATACATTTTGGTCAGATAAATCTGTCAACTTCAAGGCTGCAGATTAAACATCACTTGGATGCATGGGCCCGTTTAGTCTTCTATTAAATAATAGGCCCTGCAAACCTAGTTACTTTGCCTTCACAGAGCAAATAGTGGAATGAAACTACAGGCAAAGGCAAGAAATAATGCCTCAAACTCTAGCAATGGATATGGGGAAAGTGTAAGCCTTACCCAAGGACACTAGGAGAGTTGTGCAAATGACAAACACTGGTCTTGTCCTACCTCCAACTTTTGGCATCTGTTTTCTTCCTCCTATGTAAAAGACCCTGGGGCTCTTCGAAACCTTAGCCTCACGGGCTAATTTCTACACTCGTCCTTAGAGACTCAGCTTAGATCAGCCTCTGCTCATTCAGGGCACCTCTCTAGAGCCCTGCAGCTCCCCAACGTCAGCCTTCACGGTAGCGAATCTTCACACTGACCTGTCAGGGGTCAAAACAAGCCTCCAGATGAAGGAACCCGTACAGACCTAATACAGAACAAGAGCCAGGAATGCTTGCTGAGTGGATGTCTGTTCCACATATAGATTGAAAAGGTATGGAAATAGGATACAACCCTGACACACTCCTGATTTTGAACCATGCAGTGTTTCCTGTTTGATAACTACCTCTAAAAGGCCATAGGAGGGTCAGCTATGAGTTGGTTCCAACTTGACATACGCAATAACAATAAAGTCATAGGATTTGAATCTTGGTCGGTCAGAATCCAGTGCCCACACTCTCTTCACCATATCCTGACACAGAAGCTTCAGGGTTGCAGGCTGCACCCTTAATTCTTACCTCTGGATCCTTTAGCAAGCATCACATTGAGAGCCTGGTTCTGCATCCTCAAGAAATTAATTTCTGATGTGAGAGAATTGTGCAGCTCTGAACCATAAGTAAAAATGCTTGCGGAACCTATAAAAACAGGTATAAATCATGATTTATGGCCAGTCTCCATGTCAGTATGAATAGAACGTTCTCAATAAAGAACAGTTTCAAATAATGAGGAATAAAGCATGTAGCAGGCAATTAAGGTTACTCCCATGAAGCAGGTGCTACCAAACCCAAAAGGAGTGAGCTTCAAACATAAGGGAAGAGGCCAGTCCCCCACTTCTCACCTGTTCCAGTGGTGTGCAAAGCAGGAGACTTGGGGCAGGAGTGTGGAACAGTTTAGCCTCCACAGATGCCTCCTCAGAGGGCTAAACTCATATATCCAACTGCCTGCTGGGCATTTGCACCAACACAGCTCACACGCAACAGAGTCAAACTCTGTACCCTTCCCTCGCCTGGTCTTCTTCCTCTTATATTCTGCCTCAGTAGACGGTATCAGTACTCCTAAGTCACGATAGAAACCTTTGATTTGTCTTAGATTCCTTTCTCTTCCTTATTTATCACAGCCAACAAGGCAATCATCTCAGTAAACTCTTCCAAAATGCTGGGCCTACCAACTCAGAGTTAAACAAAATAGAGCCTAAAGTTCTCAGCCTAGAATTTGAAGCCCTCTATTATTTAGCTCCAAACTCACAGAGTTCCCTATTCTCTCACTACCCTAAACCTTGTTGTTGTTGTTGTTGTTGTTGTTGTTGTTGTTGTGTGCCATCAAGTCGCTTGTGACTCACAGCAACCCTATGTACTGTACAACAGCCCTAAACTCTTCTCTGTCCTGTGCCAATCGTGTGTCTCCAATACACCCATTCCGATTACTCCAGTCACTGAATCAATCGACCTCATAGAGAGCCTTCCTCTCCTGCACTGTCCCTCCACCCTCCCAAGCATGATGTCCCTCATCAAGGACCAGTCTCAGAATCCTTGCCTCCAAGGAGCTACCCAGTTTAACACTCTCCAGGATATACCTGTTTGTTTTCTTAGCAGTCCATGTTACATTCAATACTCTTCTCCAGTACCACAGCTCAAAGGCATCGATTCTCCTTCTATCCTCCCTAGTCATTGTCCAACTCTCTGATGCATAACAAGTGATTGCAAAGACCATGGCCTGTATCAGACGCACCTTAATCTCTAGAGAAACACCATTGCTCTTCAGTACTTTGGCGAGGTCCCTAACAGCAGACATTCCCATCGCAATACGTCTTTTAATTTCCTGGCTGCTGGTGCCAAGAGTGTTGATTGTGGAGCCAAGCAGACTAAAGCTGTGTACAATCTCAATCTCTTCACCATCCATCCTGATGCTGCCAATTGGTTCAGTGGTGAGAATCTTCGTCTTCTTGACATTGAGCCTCAATCCATATTGAAGGCTGTAGTCCTTGACCTTCTGCAGCAAGCGCTTCAGGTCCTCCTCCGTTTCAGCAATCCGGGTTTTGTCATCTGCATAACACATATTGTTTATAGATCTTCCACCAATCTTGACTCCACATTTCTCCTACTAGAGCCCAGCCTCCCGAATAATCTGTTCTGCATACTGGTTGAAAAGGTATGGAGACAGGACACATCCCTGGTGTATTCCCTTCTCAATTTTGAACCATGCAGTGTTTCCTTGCTCTGTTCTGATGACTGTTTCTTGATCCAAATATAGGTTTCGCATTAGCATGATCAAGTGTTCCGCGATTCCCATTCTTCTCAGAGTCAGCCACAGTTTGTTATGATCCACATAGTCAAATGCCTTTGCATAGTCAATGAAACACAGATAGACATTCCTCTAGTATTCCCTGATTTCGGTCAAGATCCATCTGGCATTAGCTATAATGTCCCTAGTATCACGACCCTTTCTAAACCCAGCCTGAACTTCCAGCAGTTCTCTGCTGATGTGCTGTACCAGTAGTTTTGGGATGATCTTCAGTAGAATCTTGCTTGCATATGAAATCAATGATATTTTTCTATAGTTTTCATACTCTGTTGGGTCATCCTTCTTTGGGATGGGAACAAATATAGATCTTTTCCAGTCAGTTGGCCAAGTGGTTGTTCTCCAGATTTCTTGGCACAACTTGGTGAGCACATCCAGGGCAACATCTGTTATCTGGAATACTTCAATTGGTATACCATCTATTCCTGGGGCCTAATTTTTTGCCATTTCCTTCAAAGCAGCCTGAACTTCATCCTTCATCAGCCTCATCCTTCATCAGCATAGGCTCTTGCTCATATGTTGTTCCATTAAATTCTTCTGTGTCTGCCAATTCCTTTCAATACAGTGACTTAGTATATTCTTTCCATATTCTTTCAATACTTTCTGGATCATTCAATATTCTGCCTAAAGCATCCTTGATTATAGCAACTCGAGGTTTGTTAGTGTCTTAAAAAACTGAGTAAGTTCTATGCCTATGAACACCAGCTTGTATCCTACCTCACCCACTTTGCAGAAGGACATACTACTCCCTTTGCCAAGATAGCCCACCATCCTCTCCTCCCACCACAAAAATCACACTCATCTTTCAACTCTTAGCTCAAGTTCACTGCCTTTGTTAAAAGCACAAAATCTAATGACACATACAAGCGTAGACTCACACTATTTTACGCCTGGTGAATAGACACTCACAGTTCTGTTTTGCATGGCTTCATCTGCTTTACTTCTGATTGATCGATCATCTTTTCATAAACTGGAACCATTTTTGTTATCTTGCCTTTTACTTTAAATCTGGTTTCCATGGGAAATTTTTCTGATTGTAGGCACCCTGGTGGCGTAGTGGACAGGTTCACGGCTGCCAACCAGAAGTCCAGAGCCCATATCCTCCACAGCCACCTGCAGAGCAGAGACGTGGCAATCTGCCTCTGTAAGGCTCACGGTCCCCACAAGGCTCCAGGGTGGGAGGGCTGGCATCTTCTTTTGAGAATCAGTAGCAGGCAATCATATCCTTGGGTTTTTTCTGAGGATTGGTTCAGGAGTTCTGGATGCTTAAGCTCTAGAGTTCTGTATGCAGTTCAGCCATTTGCAGAGTCTGACATGAGCAGGGAGGCACAACTTCCCTGTGGCAAAGGCAGGAAGCCCTTTATACCTTTTCCCCCTAGTTCTCTGCTGCACAAGCTAGCTCCTGATGCTGGCTGTGGGTCATTTCCTTTTGCCTCACTCCAACAGTCTGAAGTAGCTCTCTTATCCTGCTGTCCATGCTCTCTCTCCAGGTCCTAGTGCTCATCTATCTCAGCCCTCAGTGAGATTCAACAGCACTCCCTCAAAGTACCACGTTCTCTTCACCCCTATCAACTGAACAGCCCACAAACTCCCATGGTCAACTTGTGCTGCCTTTAAAAAACTCTGCTTTCTCAAAAAGTTGTAAATAGAAATACCATTTGACCCAGCAACTCCTCTACTGGAAATATATCCTAAAGAAACCATAACCGTCACCCAAGCAGACATATACACATCCATGTTTATTGCTGTTTGGTTCACAATAGCAAAGAGTTGGAAACAACCTAAGTGCCCATCAACAAACGAATGGATAGAGCAGCTCAGTTATATACACACAATGGAATACTATACTGCATTGAAAAACAAGGAACTCATGAAATACACAAAATGGGTAACTGTGGAGGACATTATGCAGAGTGAAATATCTCAGTCACAAAAGGACAAATATTGCATAATGCCACTGTTGTAAAATGCGACTGACATTGGGGCTGGGGGGAGACTGAGAAAGATGGGATAAATAATGTATACACCACTGAAAAAGATGAGGGAGGGTACTGATTAAAAGCAATATATGATTAGGTATTATTATCATGACATGGGTCCAGAATGAAGGCTGCATAGTAGAGTGGACTCAGGGAGAGGGAGTAAGCATTGTATAACAATGAAGGAATTTTTCTTTTACTTTTCAAAGAGAAGAGTGAACTGAGGTGGGGGGCAGGAAGGAAAATGCAACAATGAATGAATGGAAATCCAAAGTCTTTTCAAATGTTCATTAAAATTAATAGTAAGAAAAAGAAAATTTCTTAAAAAAGAGGGGAAAAAACCGCACAATAAAACTGTGCTGAAGATTCCTCAGATTAGCCTCTTTTCTGTGCTCCTTTGTCTGGGCTGTCACTCAGTCTTCTCCCCAAATGGCTGCAATGAGAAAGTGCTCCCAGTGGCGAAGGTAGATTCCCTCAGCTTCTGTGCCATCTTCGTTCCTCTTCCACTTTCAGACTCTCCTCAACTCCCCAACACCTCCACTGCCACGTGGAGGTCCTGTGAGTTCGGTTTGTGCATGTTTTTATGCTTTGTTCCGTGGGTTACTTGGTAGGGGAATAAATGGGAGTGTCCACTCACTTAATCATCTTGCATCGCCTCCAAGGCTCTCCCTTCTTGACCTCAGTTATACAACTTCCTCAAGCCTCTGCCAGCTCAATCAAAATGATCAATGCTGTTGTTATTATTATTCATGCTCTTGTCATTTGTATCAAACTCATTCTTGATGGCAGGCTGGGGGCAAAGAGCATTCTGGATTCCCAGGAAAAATGCTAAATAGGTCTACTATAACCAAAGCCAAGAAAGTCCCTTTTCAAAGGTGGATTAGACCAAAGAACAGTTCCTAAAACACTGGAAGCCTGGGCAGCCAATGCTGAGCTAGGAAGAGCCGACTTCTCAGGCTCGGAGGCTCGTCTGTGCACTGAACTCCACATTTAAGTTCACCTAACTGGTGACAAGTGCTCACACACAGGATTATAATTTTTTAAAAAATGACATTCCACTTGAACGCTACCAGAAGCCATGTTTTTCTCAACCTTGCTCCCAAGATGTACAACCCACAGGAAGGAGGAGGCAGAAAGACTTTTTATTTCTTTGTCTTTTCAGAGAGTCTGACAACATGGTGAGAACAGTATGTCTTTCCACCAGTGTAAATACTTTATGAATGCCTTTTTGTAAACCTTCCTGTCAGAGTGAATTACTCTCTACAGCAACTGCCTGCTCCATTGTAGCTCATGGCCATTCGAGCCCCCAAATAATTCTATAATTGGATTTGCCAGACAAAATGTAAAACAGAATGAATCTAATTCAGGCGTTACCAAGAGTGTATGCTGAAGGGCCCCGGCGCCTATATCCTTCCTGTGTTTGATACGACTAATAACTCAGATTAATCCATTTCCCTAGGGTTGAGTGTGGGAGGGTGAAAGGTAGGGCTGAGATGAGAAGAGGGAGGGAGAGACAGAGTAAGGGCAGCATTCTGTTTACTTGTAAACTGCAGCATGTGCAGTCCTTTGGTAGCATGCCTTTCTAGCCTGATGGCCATGCAGATCTAGAAAGGGAACTAAACCAGGGATCCAGGGACTCAAGTGCTGTAACCAGTAACTGGAGAGCCCCCAGGAAAGTTATTTCATCTTTCTAGAACTCTGCAATCTCCAAAAATGGCAATAACATTAGTGTTCTTGCTCACTGTTGGGTTTATAGTATTAAACTGATGTTATATAAAAATAAAGTAGTAAAGTAAAACCAACTAATGGAAATGAAAGCTTCTACTCACTGAGTGAGGCCCTGAACTATGCCTTATGCTTAACATTGCCTCATTTTCAGTCTCACAAGGATTCCATTTTATGGGATACATAAGAACTGGAGAGACAGGGCAGACTGTCCACAGTCACAGAGCTAACCAACGAGAGAGCCATGATCTACTCCCAAGCAAGTGTGGACTTTTCCAATTGCACCAGCTGCTCTCAAGGAACATCGGATAAGGACACTAGGAAAGATTTCCAGGATATATTATTCAGTGGAAAAAGCTACAGAATAGTGGGGATGGAGTATGCTACCTTTTCGGTAAGAAGGAGGGGAATAACAATATGCATTTGAAGTTGCATAAGGAACTACTGTAAGGACACACACAGAGTGAGAGGAGGGAGAACAGGGCTAACAGTCACAGAATAGAGGGTGACTTCATAAGGTAGACCATTTCACATCACCTACATTTTATCTACTAAAAAAAAAGTTTCCCCTTAAGTTCTTCATGGGAAGAGTCCTTCAGAGCTAAGTATTTATACAGGAAAGTCACTTTCCATCGGCCTATGATATTAACCAGTTATAACTCAACATTAGTGAAATGGCAAAATGCTGTTCGGTTTTATTTAAAAATACCCATTTCTCTGCAGCATCTAAAGGAAATGAGCCCGAACAATCACAGTTCTGGGTGCCAGAGTCTGGCAGGCTTCTCTAATAACCGAGAAATGAACATTTGCCAACTACTGTCTCTGTCCCAGGATGGTGGAACACTCTAGGTGTTGACTAATTCTCACAATAGCTTGATAAGAGGAGAATAATTATTCTTGTTTTATAGATAAGTTATTGTAATTAAGAAAGCCATACAAGAGGTAAGCAGCAACATCAGGATTTGAACTGAGGTCTCCTTATTCACGAGTCTGATGCTCTTCCAGATACGCAAACTGCTTCCCCAGGCAAATGCTTCACAGAGGAAACCCTCACCGGCTTGCTCCTCTCCCCTTCTCCATGGGAAGGGCATTCATTACCTTGATCAAACTCGGACCCTTGTCGTTCCAGCTGTTTCCGCAGCTTCTCATTTGTTTTAATAGATTCTTCTAAACGCTTTCTCAAAGTTCGGATTTCTTGTATGTGCTCCATTAACATTTCTACAGGAAGAAAGGGTATTTTTAATTTAAAATCTGAAGCCCCCAACAAATTAAATAATTTATAGCTTACGCAGTGAGCTTGAAAATTCCAAACAGCACTGCCACGTATTAAGATAGTCAGCAGCTGGCAATTCTTTCCTAAGCTTGAGAAAACGGAGCTATTTCCCTTGCCCACAGCCACAGTTCTGTAATGATTCTCTGCAGCCCTCCATGAGGAGGATATTTTACATTACACAGAAAAATTATATTCAATGCAATTTTAATGTTAGCGCTAATGTGGCCTTTTATTCTTCTAAATATCAAATATTAATTCAAAATCTTCCTCATGGTGAAACTAAGAGATCACTTTCAAGTCCGCTTGAATTGCCTGAGAGTTGATTAAACCACTTTCATAATAAATTCAGATATTTTAAAGACTAATTCTTTGAAATAAACACTGTATACCTTTATTATTTATGGATATAAAGCTTATAAAAACCAGAACAAAAATCCCAGTGCAAGTCAGACTGGTTAAGAAGAGCACCTGAGAGTCCACAGTGTTTGTGTCAGTATAAATACGTATGACCTTTGGGACTAGTTTTATCATTAGCCTTAAAAAAGGCTCTTTCTCAGTATCTTTTCTTAAATAATTCTACTTCTAGGAATCTATTTTAAAAGGGACAACTGATATGCTGGTACCATTTACCCGAAAGCATAAAATGGTTCGTGTTAGTGAACACTGGAAAACAAAACAACTCCAACTGTCAAGTAAATTGTAGTACATCTATTACAGTGCAGTATTGTACAGCTATTTGAATTACATTATGAATAATATGTAATGTCACGGAAAAATTAGCATGGTATTATGTTAAATTTTAAAATAGATACAAAACTGGTTTTTAGCATAATCATAACTCTATTTAAAAAAATTGCATGGACCACACACACAAAGGTAACAGACCAAAAGATTAACAGCAATTGCTTTTACATGGTAGATTGCAGAGTTTAAAGAAATACTATGCTGTATTTTCATTTTCTAAAATGAGTATCAATCTTTTCTCAGCTTCTGCCACATCTCTCTTTAACAAAGAAAGAAGTACGTTTCCAGTTGTGAGGTAAGTTTCTGGAGTCAGTGTTTCAAGCATAATCACATTAAGTATCCAGAGACAAAACTAATGTCTTTAATTCATCAATTAGGGCACACTCAGTATGTCTTAGTAATGTTTGTTTTAAAACATTATACTAATGTTATAGCCCAGTTTTAATTCCTCCAAAATGACTTTCATTTAAAAGTAGCACAATGTTACAGATCTTTTCCTAATTAAATAGTAATTTTGCCATGAATTTGAATGTTTATGAGAAGACTTAATTTCCAAACCTTCCGTTATCTCCTATTAATGCCAGAAGTGTGGCAAGTCATTTGGTGGAATGTCTGAGGACCTCATTGTGCAGAGCACTGAAAGGCTCTGTCTGCACTCAACCCCTGGTATATTCCAGCACAGTACTTCCCTGTTCCTGTTCGCTGCCCTGTCAATCTTCACACAGCAGCTATTCAAGTTGATTTAAATCACAAACTTAGCTGTTGTAACTGCAACCTTCCTTGCTGGTTTATCCAATCCATACGCTGCTGGCTTTTGGGGTAATAAATGCTCAATAGCCAGAGACAAGTCATTCTCCCCTGATCTCAGGCCAGTGGCTGGAATCATCACTGAAGCATCAGAAAGCAATTCCAGCTGAAATGGACACTACTTATTAATTATGCAGCTATAAGAGAGAAGAAGGAAATACTATACTAGCCATTACAAAATGATACCGAAATATCTGCCCCTCTTATAATAATAATATCCTCTTGACAAATGTCTATTCTTCAAAACCACAAACTCTGTAGCAAACAACAACAACAACAAAGGTACATATATTTGCTTAGAACTTCCAATTTACAGAGTGTATATTAAGAAAGTTCCAAAAATAATGGGAAAGTTTCATGCTTAATGGTATTTCTTATTGTCTTATTTACATTATGAGGTTCGGAGAATAACTTAAATGTCCAGTAATTGGGGAAAATAAGGAAAACTGCAGCTCAGCCATTCAACAGCCTAACTGGAAGTCATTTAAAGTGAGGTTAGGTAACAACATGTTAGAAAGTTTACAATAAAATACTATGTGGAAAAGGAAAAACACTAAGGGAGAGTAGTGTTCCTCTCTCAGATTATACCAACGGCCAAAGGAAAACGCAGACTAAAAAGCTAAAGCAAAATAAAGTCTAAATGGTTCTAGAACTCCATTAAAGGAGTATAAGAAAGCATCTGAATAATCTACTGCAAGGGTATAATGAACCCAAAGACATGTGTCTCCACAAGAATAAAAAGTAAGAGATCACTAAAAGTTCTGCTTTAGAAATAACCTCAGATTCACGTGGTAGAGGGGGACAGCCTAGAATGAAGGGAAAGCAAAGGCAAGAAAAGGGAACTGCCCAATATCCTGGCAGAAAAGACTGAAAGATGCCAACCAAAATCAACGTACTGCCATTGGGTTAACTCAGTCTCATAGCAACCCTCTTGGGCAAAGCAGAGCTACCCAAGGCTGTAATCTTTACAAAAGCTGGCAGTTATTCTTTCTCCCACAGGGTGGCTGGGAGAATGAAACACTTAACTACTAGTGATGAGTCAAACGCTTTAACCACTGCACCAGCAGGACACCTTCTGAAAGAGTACTGATCTCTAATAATGAAATTTAAATCACTTAGCAATTAGCTTGCAAGACTGTGCTCTAACTCCTCTAGTTCCTCAAACCTTCAGTCAAGTCTATTATTCATACAAAGACTTTGTGGGAGTGGCCTAGTGAAAACGGAAAAGGAACCGAGTTCCACGTTGGATTGCTGAAGTAGAGGACAGTGATGGCACTAAGCACAGGAAAATAACTCACGACCTAACCTAAACTCCAGCTCTCAGATGAATAGGGATGACAGAAGGAGGACTGAGGCCTTTGAACTGTTGTGGTTTTGGAGAAGAGCAATGAACATCCAACTACCAAAAGAACAAACAAATATGTCTTGGAGAGGGTGAAGAAGGAGAGGAAGACCCTCAGCCAGGTGGACTGACACGGTGACTGCTGCAACGGGCTCTAGTGTGTCAGGAAGTATACAGATGGCACAGGATAGGACAGGGATCAGCTCTGTTGTTCACAGGGTTGTTATGAGTCATACTTGACACAATGGCATCTAACGACAAAAACAGAAACTAACAACCTAAACTAGGAGAAAGTAGAATGTGGAGTCAGAAGTGACTGAGGATAAAGTATTCAGAAATTCAGAGAAATCACATTTAAATAAAAGCTAGAAAGACAAAGAACTTAGGCCTAGGAGACTGGCTACTGGAAGACCTCAAATAATATCTGAGTTATGGCAAAAGTAGGCACTTTATGCACCAAACATAGTTTCAAGCTGTGATTATCTAGCCTTGAGTGTCCACTTCCTAAACAATATGCCTCTGGAAACTCTATCAACTTTGAGAAACAATGATAGTTATAGAAAGGCCTCATTCAGGTCTTTTTTTCATAGGGTCGCTATGAGTCATGGCTGACTCGATGGCAGTCAACACCAACCAGATTCCTAGAGAGATTTCAGGCATAGGTTCTACTCATCTGTCTTGTACATATTAGATCTCCATGTCACATTTCTTCTAAGGGGAAGGAGATTACACTGCTAAAAATATAAAAGAAAAACTATTTAGATATATATATATACACACACACCACACACACACACACACACACACACACACACACACACACACGTTGTTGTTGTTTGTTGTTATATGTTGTCGAGTGGCCTGCGACTCATAGCGAACCTATGTACAACAGTCCTGAACCCTGCTCTATCCTGTGCCAATCTTATTGTCTCTGGCACACCTACCCCATTACCCCAGTCACTGAATATATCCATTTCATCGAGGGTTTTCTTGTCCTGTGCTGTCCCTTCATCCTCCCAAGCATGACGTTCCTCTCCAAGGACTGGTCCCACCTTGCATGGCCAAAGTATGTCAGATGAAGCTTCAGAATCCTTGCCTCCAAGGAGCAGCCTAGCTTCACCCTCTCCATGATGAATTTGTTTGTTCTCCTAGCAGTCCACAGTATATTTAATACTCTTCTCCAGCACCACAGTGCAAAGGCATCAATTCTCCTTCTTTCATCCTTAGTTTTGTCCAGTTTTCTGATGCATAGCAAGTACTTGAAAAGACCATGGCCTGTATAAGGTGCATCTTAGTTTCCAGATTGACATAATTACTCCTCAGTACCTTGGAGAGGACTCTGACAGCAGACTTTCCCAATCTAATTTGTCTTTTAATTTCCTGATTGCTGGTACCAAAAGTGTTGATTATAGAGCCAAGCAAACATATATGCATATTTATATATATAATGAAATGTCATTTAAGCAAGGAACTGCTTGGATCTGACTTGTGATTTATAAAATCTATACTTGCAAGTACATTCTTTCTGGAGAACAAGGTGCATCTGATACAGGCCATGGTCTTTGCTATCACTTGTTATGTGTCAGAGTTGGACAGTGACTAAGGAGGATGGAAGGAGAATTGATGCCTTTGAGCTGTGGTGTCGGAGAATAGTATTGAATGTACCCTGGACTGCTAAGAAGACAAACAGATTCATCCTGGAAAGGGTTAAACCAGGCGGCTCCTTGGAGGCAAGGATTCTGAGGCTCCATCTAACATATTTTGAACATACTGTAAGGAGGGACAGGTCCTTGGAGAGGGACATCATGCTTGGGAGGGTGGAAGGACAGCACAGGAGGGGAAGGCCCTCTATGAGGTGGATTGATTCAGTGACTGGGGTAATCGGGATGGGAATGTCAGAGACAGTGCGATTGGCACAGGACAGAGCAGAGTTTAGGGCTATTGTACATAGAGTTGCTATGAGTTGCAAGCGACTCGACGGCACATAACAACAACAACATACTTGCAAACTATCCAGTAGAAGAAGAGAGAGACCAGAGGCCAATAGTTGAGATAAATATGCTAGGCAGATAGAAGTCTACATCAGCAGTTAGAAAACTACCATTGTGAGGAAAATCCAGCTCACCATCTCTTTTTGTAAACCAAGTTTTATTAGAGCATAGCAACACTGATTGACTTATATATTGTCTATGGCTGCTGTGCTACTACACATCTGTCAGTCTGATGTACTATGTGGCTTCTTTGTTGCTGAAAATATACTACTAGTATTTCAAACCCCAGCAAAGCCAGGTCACTCCTGGTGGAAAGACTGCAGTGGAGCTTCCAGATTAAGAACTGGACATCCATTTCTGAAATAATGAGACCATGAAAACCTTATAAGAACATTATTAGATAGAGCGCTGGAAGATGAGTCCCTCATGTTGAAAGGCACTCAAAATATGATGTGCATAAAGCTGCCTTTCAGAGCTGAGTCTACCTTAATGATGCAGGAGAAATAACACTTTCACCCAATGAAGGACATTCATTTGTTGATATGGCACAACTCAAATTGAGAAGAAACAGCTACAAACACTCATTAATAACTGGAATTATATAACAAGTATGAATCTAGGAAAATAGAGACGTTGTAAAAAAATGAAAAACACAAAGACTGACATCCTAGGTACCAGTGAACAGAAATGGACTATTATCGGCTATTTTGAATTAGCTATTACACAAGCTACTATGCCAGGAATAAAACTGAAAGGGAACAGAGTCGAATTCATGACAAAAAAAAATCCTTCAAGATCTGTCCTGAAGTACAAGGCTGTCAGTGAAAGAATATCCATATGCTTACAAAGAATATCTGTTAATACAACTATTATTCAAATATATACACCAACCACTGAAAAATATACGCAAATAAACTCACTATTATTCAAATATACACACCAACCGATGAAAACACTGAAGGTTTCAAGCAACTTATGCTGTCTGGAACTGATCAAATATGAAGACAAGATACATTAATAATAATTGGTGACTAGAATGCAAAAATTGAAAACAAAACAAAGAATTGGTAGTTTGAAAATATTATCTTGGTGACAAAAGTAACAGAGACTGCATGATAGAATTCCGTACCGTAAATGATGTACTCCTTATTATTATCTTTTCAAAAACAAACAGTAGTAATTCACATGATCCCCACCTGACAGGACGCACAGGCCTTCATCTGTGGGAAGAGGCTGCACAACGGTGGCGCAGTCTGCAGGGAGACATGCTGCCATCCTACGGCTGGTGCTTCTCTGCCGGTTCTAATTCACCAGTAACTCCACGGAAGAAAGAGAGGTAACCTCTTTCCATAAGGTTTACAGACTCCAAAAACCTACTGGAGGGTCAGCTCCCTTCTGACTCTACAACAATGAGCTGGAGAGTTGGAGTGGAATGAGATGAGGGGGGAGCTCCTTACCAGCAGTATGAACAAGGCCAGGAGCTGCCTGACCCAGAGCATCAGCTGCACACGTGCAAGTTCAAACAGAAACTGAAGACAATGAAAACAAGTCCACAAGAGAGAAAATGCAAACAGGAGTTTATACCACCTGGATTTAACAACCATTTCAACAACACATTTGATGCACTGAGTAAAAATGACTGAAGACCAGACAAGTTGCGGGAGGATGTAAAAAACAGCATACATGGAAAAAGCCAAAAGTTGTTATAAAGACAAGAAATAAAAGACCAAAATGGATGGCAGAAGAGACTCTGATACTTGCTCTTGAATTTACAGAAGCTAAAGGAAAAGGAAGAAAGAAGAAATTAGAGGGCTAGTTAAAAGATTTCAAAGGGCAGCTCAAGAAGAGAAAGTATTCTATTATAACAAAATGTGCAAAGAGTTGGAATTAGAAAACATAAGGGAAGAATATATTCAATATTTCTTATATAAAAAGAAATGAAAAAACATTCAAACTTCAAATTGCAATATTGAAGGATTCTATGAATAACATATCAAATAATGCAGAAAGCATCAAAAGAAGATAGAAGAATACACAGATACTGCACCAGAAAGTATTGGTTCACAATGAACTATTTCAGGAAGCAAGGGCGATGTGTGGTTCAAAATAAAAAAGGTGTGCATCACGATTGTATCCTTTAACCACTCTTATTCAATCTGTCTATGAGCAAATAATTCAAGAAACTGGAATATATGAAGAAGAATGTGACATCAGGACTTCAGGAAAACTCCTTAACAATCAGTTATGTGTTATGGATAACACATCGTGCTTGCTTAAAGAAAACTTGAAGAGTTTCCTGAAGACCAAAGCTACCTGAAGGAATCACTGAAAATCTCTACTATAGCCTTCAGTGTGGATTACATTTCAATATCAAGAAAGCAAAACCCCTCACAATTGGGCCAAATGTAACATCAGGATAAATGAAGAGAAGACTGACATTGACAATGATTTCATTTCACTTGGATCCATAATCAACACCCACAGCAGTACTGTCAAGAAATCAAAAGTATTATCACATTGGGCAAATTTGCTGCCAGAGACCTCTTTAAAGTGCTCAAGAGAAAAGATGTCAGCTTAAAACTATGGTGTGCGATTTTTGTCTCACATACTTTGGGCATGTTACTGCATGTATCCTAATCCTGGAAAAAGACATTGTTGTTGTTATTAGATGTCATTGAGTCGTAGAGGACTCACAGCGACCCTATGAACAAAGGATCTGAACACCTGTATAACATTCATCGCCTCTCCAAGTTCATAGAGTTCCTGGAGGCAAGCTATTTCAGAAATGGATGCCACTCCTGCTTCCAAGCCTGTTTTAACCTGGGAGGTCCACCAGACACTGTCCACCATGAGTAACCATTATCACATTTGACACATCAGTGTCACAAAAAAAGACATTACGTTCGAGGGGTTTGTGCGGGGAGAAGGGTGCAACAATGAATGAATGGAATCCCAAAATCTCTGTAGATGTTCATTTAAATGAAAAATAAACAACCCAAATTAAAAAAAAAAAATTTTAAAAAAAAAGACATTACGTTCACAAAAGCAGAGATGCAGTGAAGGAGAAGACAGACTGAAGTAGACAAGACTCTTAGCAGAAGAAACTGGGAAGATGGCACAGGAGAGGACAGGATTTTGATCTGTTGTGTATGAGTCACAATCAACTGAACAGCACTTAACAATAACAACGGCTGCTTTCATGCAACAATGGCAGAGTTGAGTAGCTACTGAAGAAGCCATATGATTCATGAAGTCTAAAATATTTATTTGAGCTTCTAGAGAAAGTTTGCTGGTCCTTTATACAATGTCTGGAACCTCTGAAATATATTGTATCACATATAATAAGCTCTACCTATTATCTCAAGACAAGGAAATCAAGACTGCAATACAGAAAGTATTTTCCGTAAAGGGTAAAGAGAGCTCAGATGCAGGTGGAGTCTTGGGACCCTGATTCTGACAACAGAATCTGTGGATACTGATGAGTTGCAGGAGAGTGGCTGAACCAATGAATCAAGGGCCACACTAAGTGGAAACAGGGAAAATATTAAAAAAAAAACAAAAACCCACAAAATATCAAATTAGGACATTGAAAAAAAACCAACCATGAAACTTACTGTCATCAAGTCAGTTCCGACTCACAGCAACTCCTCCGTTTCAGAGGCTGTAACTTACTGGCAGAAGACTGCTCAGCAGGGAGCCAGTGGTGGGGTGGATTCAAACCACTGGAGACGTGCAGCCTCAGGCAAGCAGCTCAGAGTTATGGGCTCTACCACCAGAGCACCCACAACAGGGAATTAGGTACTTTTTTTGGTCTCCTTTCTTTCTTTCTTTTTTGTAGTTAGGGTGAAAATTTACAAAGCAAATTAGTTTTCCATTCAACAAGTTATTCATATTTTGTTTTGTTGGCATTGGTTACAAGCCCTACCATGTTAACAGAACCCTTCCCACTTGGTCCCTCTATCCTCTCTGTTCCTGAACCTTCTTTCTTTATCTTCCTTCCTGAACCTTCCTGTCTACTGCACTTTGATTCTGGCCAAGTGGTAGCCTTTTGGTCTCATATGGTCAATGGTTATTCCGAGGTGCACATTCCTCCCTAGCACTATTACTCACTTTACAAGCCTGTCTACTGTTGGCTGAAAGTTGAAATTAAGGTACTATTTGGTATCTTATGACAGTAGACATCTTCAAAGTGACCCTGCCTTAAGATGAATTTGGAAAAACACAAGTAAACAATTAACCACACTTGGAACTGACATATAATTTCAGTGCTTTCCAGCCTGTCAACCTTTAGCAGAGCAAGTAAATGGCAAGGCATATATTAAGGCATCATGTAAAATAGTAAAATGACTTTTCTCTAATCACCTACATTTTCTATAACCATAGCTTTGTCTTATGATAAATGATATCTTTAGTGACCAGTTTTGACCATTAAGGGATCTCCTTTCATCACAGAAACAGTCAAATGTCACCACTCTGGCTACTAAGGTAAGTTAGAAAATTAATGCTTAAAAAGTACTTGCAAGGTTTAAAATAGCCTTTTTCTGATTAACCCTCAGTGAACTCTGTAAGCATTTCTGTCAAAGTTTCTGTTTGAAAAAGTAGGAAAAACTAGGACATATTTAAAATGCTTATAAAGCTTAACTCACCTTGAGAAAAATTGTTAGCCATATTGGAAATCTTCTCTATCTCACGACCTTGCTTCTGGTCTCGTGAGGATGAGGAAGACTTTTCTGACATTTCACAATCAGATAATGCTTGAGAGGCTGAAGGCTCAGGAGATTCAGGGAGAATATGCTGGTAGGTCAAGTTGTCTTCCTCAAACCTTAATTGTTGAGATTAAAAGATCAATCAACAAGAGTACTCTAAAAAGCTAAGCCAGGATCAAGATTTCAAGAACTCTTATGATTACTCTGTCTTATACTTTCTCCACATTTGCAATTTCAGTCAGCCCGGCTGTTTTCCTAGAGCAGTTAAGAGGAAATTAAAAACCAAAAAAGGCACAGTGGGCTTGAGTTTGGAGTCAGTGAAGAGGGGGAGCATGGAGACTGGACCATCCTGGGGTCTGGCTTGTCCGGCAGCGACGCCCACAGAGGGCACTGATCACTGACAGCTGTTGCCTGCGCAGTGCCAGACATTTCAGATCCTTTATCCTACCTGGTTCCTCTTAACCACCTTTAGAGGTAGGAATTACACTCCTTGTTTACAGTCATCGAATTCACCTGCCTCACTGTCTCTTAGCATTAAGGTGACAGAAGTGAGTGAACCCAAGGACCCAAAAGGAAGAATATGGTAGGTCCCGCTCTAACCTATGAAGTGTTCTTATGAGTTTAGAAACCCTCATGGTCCTCAAAAAGGTCCCACTATCATTATTCTGGCAAGATATGGTTATTAACCTGCATTTTCCAAGGGCCACCTAAGCCAAGAAGGAAAACAGACTGAACTCTGTGAAAAGCCTATGTGGATCTCCATTAGAGATAAGCTCCTTAATTTAAGCTCTTTTTTTTCCTTCCTCTTTTTTCTATTGTTTCTTGTCAGTGGCCACAGTCTCATTATTCATGAGCTCAGACAAGAGCAAAGGACTCCAAAGCTGCAATGCATTCATTAACAGGTAAACACCAGATGTAACTTCACCCAGACAGCGTGATGGATGCACAAGCTTGCTGCTGGCTTGCAAAAGTGCACAGTGGGCCAAGGGCACCCATTTAATTAGCTTAGGCATGACCCATGTGAGTGCTCAGCCTACAGCTGAAAAAGGGAGAACAGAGGAAAAAAAACAAATCTGTTAGAAACACAGAGGGGTGGTGTAGTGGTGAAGGGCGGCTGAAAAGAGGCTCTGCCTTCTCTGATCCATTCGCGGCAGCAACCAAGGCAGTCTATTAAAATGGCAGATTTGATCATGTCTAACCCAGCTTAACTGCCTTCAAAGACTCCCCCTCTTCTGAGAGACTAGTTGGAACTCCGTTACAGCACTTGTGGTTCTTCATGTTTTCCTAGCTAAAACGCTTACATTCTAGGCAGCAGATATACTGAGAGTCTTCTGGCCTCGAAGGGGCCACGACTCCCTCACTTCAAGAATGGACACTTTCTCTGTAACCCTTGCCTCCTCTGATTCTCAGCCTCTCAATCTCAGCCAAGACTATTCCCATCTGAGAAGCCTTCCTTGCCCTCTGCAGCCTGCCAGGAAGATGTGAGTTGTTATAGGGATCAAAGTGGAAAACTGCACCGGGAGGAAATTGTGAAATGACCAAGTGGATGAGGAGTATTTCTTCTAAACATATAGCAGTCCTGATCAAAATGTCCTCCAGTGAGCTCAGCTTGTGGCCACTCCTTGCCTGCTCACTCTAAGAATGCTGGTGGCCTTCATGATGTCCATAAAATTGAAAATTCTGTAACTCAGAATGGCTCTATTGCTTTCTAATACTCCCAGGAGCCCCAAAGGCCACAGCTTCTGAGAGAAGGAAGGTACTCAATGGCACTAATAGCATTCAGAACCTTTGAGAAGTAAACAGACGAGGGCAAGACCTTGGTATTTTCAGTTGGCCACAGAAGAAAATGGGAGAAAAAGCATATTTATCATGTTTTTATTGCATGAACATCTTCTGAACTTTTTTCTCATGAACATTTATTCCACGAACATTTTCTGAACTCAACTATCTACCAAACATTTGGTGCTGGAGCTGGCACAAGACAGTCTTTGCATGCAAAAGGCAATGTGAATCAACAGTAAGAACACAGTGGCTGGAGTCTGACAAACCCAGGTACAAACTCCAGCTCTACCCTTTGATGACATATATGCAACTCTCTGGCCCACAGTCTAACCTTCTTGAAACAGGGGCAGTAATGTCCATCATATAGGACTGCGAGTGATCAAGGACAGTGGCTGATACAAACATGTCAGCTCCTTCCCTCTCCCTTAAGGAATTTATGGAGTAGAAAGACAAACACAGAACATATTATAATACCATGCAATAAGTGGTACATCACAGTACATCAAGGAATATTGATCCTCAAGTTAATGGAGAGATGGGCTTGTGTCAAGGGGAAAGGCAAGCTCATTTCTGAGTGAACTAGTCCTAAAGAAAAAGCAGTCTAAAAAAGCAGGAGAGGAAAACAGTAAAAAGCCCGAGGAGACCGAAGCTTGGTGGGAAGGAAGAGATGACTTAAGATTCTGAAAGTGTCCAAAATGGTCGTTTAGGAGTAGGAGTTAACCCACAGGTACCCAGAAGCCAGGAAGAAAGAAATTGTTATTTAGGTCAAACAATCTAAAAGAGAAATGTTACAAATAATCTTAAATAAATAAGGGAAGTGACAAACATTGTAGCGTTGTTGTTATGTGCCATCCAGTCTCCACGACTCATAGCAACCCTAGGACAGCAGCTCTGCAGCCTGCCCTGTCCTGAGCCAGTCTCACTGACTCTGACACACCTACCCTCATTGCGCCAGTTACTTTGTCAATCCATCTCATTCAGGGTCTTCCTTTCCTGCGCTATTTCACCATCCTACTAAACATCAGGGACAGGAGAAGGACATCAGCATTAGCTGTGAATGGTTTCACAACTCCACTGTAAGGTCTTAAGTGTTTGTGCCTTATTTACATATAGCATGACAGAATGGGAGGGGCCGGAATACTGAGAAAGTTGGTAGACAAACCAAACCCTCCAAATCTCAGGTTTTCTCAGCAAACGCGATGCACTCACCTGTCTATCAATTTATTCTGGGCACTTGCCTCCACTTCAGCTGATTTTCCTAGAACCAGAAAAAACAAGGAGAAATGAGGGGGGGGAGGTGAATTTTTTAAAGTATTTCCTAATAATTTCTTGCTCATACATTTGTAGCAATACATTTATTTAAACATGCTTTTTTAATACTCTCAGATACTTAAAGCAGTGTTTACCAAGAACGCAGTTCTGACCACAGACTCCTCACTGTTCTGGCACTAGTTCTCAGGAGGTCTCTGGTGACGTAGTCTATAGCGAGTCATGCTACTAACCCAAAGGCCGTGGACCCCAATGCTTTGGAGCCACACGAGGCTCCTCACGGGAAAGCAGGGCAATCTCTTCCAGTTACAATTCAAAGCTCTGGAAACCTGACAGAAGGTCACTCTGAGTTGGAAACAACCCAAATACAGTGAATGTGAGTTTGAGGCACAAGGTGTAGTAGCAAAAGTGTGACTTGAATCTCAGAAGCAGTTAAAGACATTGCTGGGGATGGTTTCTTTTTCCTTCTCTACAATTCTGATACAAAACGAACACATAGATGTTCCTGTCATTACAGGAAACAGTTCACAGTGTCAAGAAGCAGCACACCATCTTCCAAGAGGACGCCTACATATATTTGCCAGTTTTTCTTCCATTGTTTTTTTCCATGCATTTTGGTAATTGTACTTTATGTGACTTAATTTTTTCCCACTTAGTACCTTATTATAAGCATTTCACTACATTTGCTTCAGTAACATTATTTACAACAACCCCATTAATATTCTATTATAGGCATGCATATAGTTTTTAGTCAGTTCCCTATTTGACATTTAGACTATCTCTAAATTTTCCTTTTTATAAATAAATCAAATGAACATCTTGGTGCACACAGCTTTATCTGCATTTAAATTATTTCCTTAGGAAAGAAAGACTCCCAGAAGTGGGATTACTAGGGAAAGATTATCAGTGTAGATAAAAAAAAGTCACTGGCTGCAGCAGGGAAAATGACTAAAAGAAATGACAAAAGAAAACAAAATAAAGCTCAAAATGTAGTTGGGCACAAAAAACTGTTCTGCTCTCTTCCTGCTTGTCATCATTTGCCATTTGAAAGGAAGCACATGAGCCCAGATTTCAAAGAGACTAACAACTTTATTTTAAAAATACTTCAGTACTCTGGAAATTGCAGACTGGGATGAGCTCTTTGAAGAAGATAACGCATGGCTAAAGAAAAAAACAAACCCTTCTATAGCTGTACTTGAAAATGAGACTATAATTAAACTGCACCCACACACACAATTTTCCAAACTACTCCTAAAAGGGAAAGTTCTCCAACACCACAGCACAGAGAAGATCACTGGAGGCTGCACAGTTGCTTTATGTCTTGTGGTTCCCCTCCCACAAACTAACAGCCCGGCTGGAACTGCTGTCTAGACTCTGCAGCCCACCAGGTGGGCCACCTGGGCACCAAGAGTCGGTGCATCTTAATGAGAGTTTCAAAGTCACCTCCTCTGTAGGGACGGGCATGAGCCAGTCGGGCCCAACCACGTGCAGCCCAACTGCTGTTCTTCAATATCCACATCTCCTTGGGCCTCATGACCATCCTCTACTTGCTATCCTCATTTGCAGCAAAAACGTGGAAACTTGTCTCTGTCTTCTCTTCTCTCTCTCTCTCTCTCACTTGCTCAGTTCATACTGTCACCTGTTTTACTGCATTTCACAGTTAAGCAAAAGAGATGGGGGTTCTCCCTTCAGTACGGCTAAATCACAAAGCTTTTTGACCTTGTAGGGTCTATCTTGGCAAAGATCAGCATATTTTGGCTTTTCAAATGACAGGAGAAGTTAACTCTCTAGGCCTCTTTCACAGTGTATGCCCCTCCACATTCCTCTTGAAGAGAGGAAAACATTGATCCGATTGAGTCAAACTCCAAGAACTTCACAAACAGTCAGGGGTAGGGGCACACAAAAAGGACACCCTAGTCAGCATTCTTCTCCTCACACCTGTCCTACAGCTGACGGAAAGGCTTTGATCCTACAGTCTCATGGGCCATCTGCCCCAGTCCAACCTTCCAAAGAGCTTTATATGGTAAACGTGCACTAGCCAGGCAAACAGAATCACATTTAGACACTGGACATATACTAGTCAAGCTTCACATTCACCACTGTTTTCCTGGGTGTATCAGAGAGGTCACAGGGTAAGGAATCCTTAGTGTGCAGTAAGTTTTAACAGTCTTGAGTCTCCTGACCATGAAATGATCTTTAAATCATTAGTAATCTATCCTTAATTCCTAACAAAATCTTTGACATCACTAGCTCCCCAGGTTTGCTCTTCTTTAAGTAAGAGACCCTTTGGGGAACTTATTATAACTCAACAATTGTATTCTATCCATACTCCTGTCACAACAGAATGCTTTAGAAAATAAATGACAAACAGTTACTATGGGAGTCACAGGGACATCATTATCAATTAGGAATTTGAATTTCTTGGTGGCAACTGCCTTCACACAGGTGACATGATACCATCTGTTGGGCTATTCCAAAGGCTTAGGATCTGTATCATGAAAACACTTTCTCATCTCACAGGAAAGTCCTGATGTTCCACCTGAAGGTGTAGTGTGTGGCAGTGGAGGTGGGAGGGGTTTCGTATTTTCAAATAATAAATACCTTGTTCTCAAATACCCATATTTGAAAGAAGCAAGATAACTAGAATGCAGTATAGTCAATCTACCCACACCTTACACAGATCTGTCCTGCATATTGCTATCATTTAAGAAGAAGGCTCTTTTGAAAAGAGTACTCCCTAACTCAAATTTTATTAGCTATAGCGAATTTAAATTGTGTAGCCTGGCATCTCCTGCCTGACTCAAGTGTTTCTTCCCTTCCTTCTCAGTAAATACTTACAGTGCTCCTTCCAGGCACCTCTGTCAGAGAGATGAATACTCATTCTGTCCTCAGCGAGTTCACATCTGGCAGGGCCTCAAAAGACAATTACACTAGAGATTATAGTGCTGAGAGGGGTCCTCACAGATTTTAGTAGTATTTGCTTCTTTGTTATTCCGGTATAATCACATGCTCTTTTGAATTTGTTTTTTTAGAAAGAAGACTATATTTAAAATGAAGAACTCATGTTCTACACTACCTCAGCTACAAAAGCACTGCAGGATAAGATCCACTTCCTAATTCAGGAGTCATCCACCTTATTTTCTGTCAAAAAAAAAATACTGTAGTGAGGTTCCTGGGTTTCTTGTTCCTTTTGTAGAAGAAAATCAAGCCCTAAGTTTGTGTGTTGTCTGCACAGCCTGAAATGCTTCTAATACAGAATCCACAGGAAACAAGAAGTAGGATCTCTTTGGGCTTGTCAAGGTAAGTAACTAAAAAATAAATCAAGGAGGGTGTCGGAAGTGGGAGGGAGGGCAGCAGGTGCCAGAGGCACTTTCTCTCAGTTGCCCACTTCCTAGGACATAGGTTGAGGACTCCCGTGAAGAAAAGAGACAGCCGGGAAGATGCCTCAGGCCTGGAAGATACAGATCCATTTTGAGGACTGAGTTATTTCCGACACTAATAAAATGAAAACCAGCTTATACAGAAAAACTTAGCTAGTGGACTTATATAAAGCTTAAAAAAAAAGTCAAATGACTCAAAAAAAATCACCTGCAAAAGTCACAGAGTACAAGGAAAATCAAACTGCAAAGCGTTTCTTATCCTGCTAACCAATGACACCAATAGCTATTAGACAATTTGGGGGGGGGGGGGAACAGGGGCAAACAACTGCCTGGGTGCAGAAGGCCAAACCGTATCACACTTTATGGGAATTTAATTGAACATATGTGGACTCCCATGGACCATCTGTTATATATGTTTGAGGACAGAAGAACCAGGTCAGATTCTGGTTCTGCTAAGTCAACTGTAACTCTGAGCAATTTGCTTTCCTTCGCAAAGGCTAAATTCTCCATTAGTAAGCCAGACTGTCCTGAGGATTAAATGAGTGCAAGAAGCCCCATCTCACCAGAACAACAAATACTAGTGAGTTCTCAGCATCCAAGAGTCACGTACCAAGCACTGACCAAGGTATTAGAATGGCCAGGACTTAAGATCATTTCCCAAAATGCAGAGCTATGTGGAGAGGGGTTGCGGGTGAAAGGCACAGAGCTTTAAGCTGAGCAGCCCAACTCTAAAGGCTGCGCTCTTATGGTCTGACCCACCTCTTTAGCTAAGTAATTATTTCTGTGCCTCAAGTTTGCTGTAATACCTCACATTTCCAAAGTCACTGTGAGGTTCAAATAAAATAAGACATATAATACCATGTGAAATGCATAGTAGACATAGTGACATGAGGTTTTGTGTAGAGACCTGTTTTGAAATCCCTGCCTTAATGAATGAACACAGTTGACTCTCCAATCCCATTGAACCACAACTGCAACTCTAAAGCTGAGACTGATTGATTGATTGATTCATTCATTCATTCATTCTCTCAAAATATACTGAGAAGGGTCTACAAACTTGCCAGGCATTGTGTATGACTCAGGGATACAGCAGCAAACACAACAGTAAGCCTTGAGGGGATTATTTCTAGTAGGAGAGTCAGAAAAACAAATACTATGCAATTATCAAGATAATAATGGAGAATGGAGAAAACAGGGCAAAAGAAGAATGCCAGTGATGGGCCGGGATGCTTTGCGTCTTTATATAATTTTCAAAGAAAGGCTCACTGATAGGATGTTTGAGAAAAAACTGGAAGAAATGGGAGATTTATCAAAGAGAAGAGCAAGTAAAAATGTCCTGAAGATTATGCTTTAGCATGATCAACAGACCACAAGGCCTCATCTGAAGGGATGCAAGGAGGCGGAGTGAAGGGGTAGGAGACAGGTCAGAGGTGACAGGGGCCTGGAGGTAGAGATCTGTAGGATTTTATATGGAAAGGTTTTCACCCTTAGTGAAAAGGAAAGCCTTTGGTTTTGAACAGAGAAGAAATATGAACTGGCCTATATTTTGATAAAGATCACTCTGACCACTATATAAAAATGGACTATATTGGGACAAAGATGGAAGCACTGTTGGAAAGCAGCTCTGATAATCTAAGCAAGATGATGGCAGCTGATTAAACCCATGGATAACTCCAAAGTCCCTAACAAAAGCAAAAACGAATAGCAAATACAGCAATGAAAAGTACAAATTTCATCAGATGTAGAATACATTTTAAATGCAGCACTTCAAAAAAGGAGATGGGAGGAGAACTGAAATGAATGCTGAGAGGTGTCCTGGAAGGTAAGTAAAGAAAGGATATCCACAAACAAAGAGGTGTCGGTATGTCAAATACTACTGCGAGTTTAAGTGAGACGAAGACTCATTTAGGCAAGTGGAAAATGCCATATCTCCAGAATGGTTGGGATGACTAAACAGCCCCTATGGATTTAAGGGAGTGGAAGCATACAAAAATGTAGTAATAATGGATACAAGAAAGAAGGATGAATTAATAACTATACAATAGCAATTTAAAAAAAGAAAAGTTTCAGCTTTGGAACCATGATAATGTTTTTCATATTAAAAAATTAAATTAACAAGGATAAGAGGAACTCTTTAAATTGAATATAAGCAGAAACAAATGAACATAATTATATTTCAAATAAATAACATGGCAACACTGTGGGGAAACAACTAAACTAAGTAACTTCCAATTCAGTAGCTGAATATATGGCCTAAAAATAAAAAGAACGGTAAGTAAATCTCCACTTATCTGGTAAACCTGGTGTTTTTTCACTGTGGTATGTGGGCAAAAGAATTCTAGAATGATTCATGTGTATTCTGAAATTGAACAAATGAGTAAGTATAGTGTAGAGTAATGCTGTTAGAGCCAGGTTAAGAGAACTGGCAAAGGCTGGCAAGATCTGGGGGAAAGACGGTGGTGACGGCTGCGCAACTTAATGAACACAATTGGTGTCACGGAAATGTACACGTGGAAACTGTTGAGACGGGAAAGGTTTTGTTAGATTTAATCATATTAAACACAGTTGGGGGAGGGGAGAAAAATCCCAGTAGGTTTATATGAGACTTGGCCCAGTGTGAAGTAATGATTTTTTTAAAAAATTTAAATAGAAGTCTGAGTCTGTGAATGCCAAAACTCACCAGGCTCGCCTGATCCGTCCACGACTCATCAGTTTCCCACTTTGTACAGGCTGCAGTCTTTATCAATTCTCTATCACCCTGTATTAATGGAAAATTTTTGTGTTTTTCTTCTGATAAGGGTTTTTTGGTCCCAGTTTTGTGCATGCACATTTTGCTGTATATCTTAGTTTTATCTGTGAAAAGGCTTAGGAACTATGATATCCTACTAGTAGTAAACATACTCAGCATAAAATCTTTCCTTTTTAAATATCATTTCTTATAAAAATCAACTAGGGCTACCTGTAGAAATAGCTGATACAGGACTGGGATAAGGATAGTACAAGATAACTTTGAGACCTTTTCTGTGCCAGAAATGTTCAGAAAAAGATACAGACACATCAAAATGATCTGCTGCTTGCTAAATATGCACAACAGGAGCATCAATATGGATAAAAGCAATGGATACTATCCACTGAAGAACTTTTCAGCTCATACTACTCCTAAATAAAAAAGAAATAAAGTAATAAGGAAATATATATCTAGAAGGGGAAGGCAGATGCTTCCTAGTAAAGAAATGATGATGTTAGAATTAAAGGACATAGATAACCAGGTGGCATAATTTAAAGTGACTCAGGCAATAATGCCCAATGGATGATAAAAGTCAAAGGTAAAAAGTGCCTAAGGATATGGGATATTTATAGTGTTGCAGAGATATCAATCACTAATTAGTTATTCATTACAAAGGAAGATAGTAGTTTAGAGAAATCTTATAGACATCACCTTAAACAATCAAAGTTAATTAACACAAAAAATGGGGCAAATGGGTATTATATGCATATGAACAAACCATCACTTAGTGCAGTATTCCTGCCAAAGCAACATAACCAGAACCTGATTAAGGGAAACAAGAGATATTCTCAACTGAGGGACTAGCATGACCGCTTCAACTATGCCAATGTCATGAACGACACAGAAAGGAAGGGTGAAAACGGTTCCAGGTTAAAGAAGACCGAGGACCAAATCAAATGTAATAGGAGGACGGACCTCAGAGGCTATCCAGAATAAAAGTGCCATGAAAGACATTATGGAAACAATTGGTGAAACTTGAATACAGATTGTGTAATAACATACTAAATGATAGTATTTCCTGATTTTGATCATTGTACTAGGATTACATAAGAAAACAACCTGGATCTGAGCAACTGTTTACTTAAGCTCCTCTCACAGGGCTCAGAGATAGTAATTGTGTGTGCAAAAGAATAAGAATGATAAAATAAGTATTACCAAACAGTAACAACCGATGTTGTTGTTTTTATGTGCCGTCGAGTCGCTTGCCACTCATAGCGACTCTATGTACAACAGCCCTAAACCCTGCTCTATCCTGTGCCAATCGCACTGCCTCTGACACACCCATCCCGATTCAAAAAACATATGGGAATTCTATGTCGTCATCTCAAAAACTTTTACGTTATTACAAAAAACGTGTTTTTAATGGAATAACATGTGTTTCAGTCCCTAGCACACAGCAGATGGTTAGCAATTGTTTAAGGACCAATTATGATTCTTCAATATATACAAGTTTTCATTTTTACTCAATTGTCAACACTTCAAACTCCCAAGTTTTCACAGAAAAAAAATCAGATTTCCATCTTTTCTTTAAATGTCTGAAGAATCAGCAACTGTTTGTTTCAGAGCCCTTGAACTAAACTCAACTCCCAGCTGAGAACAGTGCAGACTACAAAGTGCACAGAGCTGGTTCGTGGAAGGAAGCCACAGTCAGTATGGTTCTGACACACCTCATCAGGGGAGCGGAGAGGAGGCTAACCAGCTCAAGGAGTCAGTTCTCTCTCTCCCCCAAACAGAAATTCTGGATCAATTACTGACATAACTTAGAAGTCACAGCACTTCATCCCACTTACCAGAAAGAAACAACTTCTCCAATTCCTCCAGCAGTTGTGCACATTGATTCAGCTGCCCCTGGAAACCCTCAGCCAAACCGTAGTCCACGTCACTGGCCCGGAGCAACTCATCAAATGCCTTAATCAGGGTGTTCATATGTTGGCGATAAACAACACAGATGCCATGGCTGTCCTTAAGCTGCTGTCGTTGAAGGGAAAGCTCCCTGGCTTGGGACTGAACTAATGAATTGTATCTGATAAAAAAGAGGGAAAGAAAATGCTTGTACTGCTTCAGAATTGAATTTTTGTGACCTTAACACTAATTGGAAAAATGACAGAGCACAATTTTTAAAAGCCTGAAGCTGTACAAGTATATACACTTTTAGAAAAATTGAAAGTGCACAAGGTCACTCTCTTTTTTATTTCAAAATACCCAACAATGCTGGAACAAAGGTTCTTCTACAATATTTTTAACCTTATAAGGCCCCCAATTAAAATATGGATTGGCAAGGACTTGGGAGAAAGATTAGTTTCCACATACTCTTCAAAAATACTATTCTGAATTATAGAAACAAGAGCCCTCAGGGTCAGGGGCCCACTACAAATTCCCATAAAGACCTAAAAATAAACTCTCAGCAGGAAAACCAGGATAGTATGCTTTCCTTTCAGCAGAAAGATCAGGGAATAATCATAATCCTCAATCCCATTTATTGAGGGTCAATACCACTCTCATAGGATTAGGTACTTTATATGTTATCTAGTCCTTCAATCTTATGGTGAGTATAAGAACTTCTCCTTTTAAGAACACTGTAGTCTCAGAGTCATGAAATAGTTAAGTGGTCAACAGGCACAAAGACAACCCTGAGTCTAAAGCTCATGCTCTATTACCTCTTCACTACTCACTACATATGCTGTCTTTTTCCTTTATGATTCCACAGCTATTAGCGGACATGTTGTTGTTGTTACATGTCATTGAGTTGCCCAAGACTCACAGTGACTCTATGTACAATAGTTCTGAAACCTGCCCTGTCCTGAGTCAGTTTCACTGACTCCAACACACCTACCCCCACTGTCCTAGTTACTGTATCAATCCATCTCATCCCGGGTCTTTCCTTTCCTCTGCTGTCGTCCACCATTCCAAACAAGATGTCCTTCACCAAGGATAGGTCCCTCCTGGCCCCATGTCCAAAGTATGTAGGATGGAGCATCAAAATCCTAGCCTCTAAGGAGAAACTTGGTTTCCCCTTCTCTAAGACAGATGTATTTGTTTTCTTGGCAGTCTATGGTATGTTCAATACTCTTCTCCAGCACCACAACTCAAAGGCATCAATTCTTCCTCTATCATCCTTAGTCATTACCCAGCTCTATGATTCATAGTAAATAACTGTGAAGATCATGGACTTGATCAGGCACCTTAGTCTCTAGAATGACATTGTTGCTTCTCAGTACTCTGGAAAGGTCCCTGAAAGCAGATTTATCTAACACAATTTGTCTTTTGATTTCCTGACTTTTGGTGCCAAGAATGTTGACTGCGGAGCCAAGCAAGCTGAAGCAGTTAACAAACTCAATCTTCTCCATCTATGATAGTGCTGCCAATTGGCCCAGTGGTAAGAATTTTTGTCTGCTTAATGTTGAACTTTAATCCACATGGAAGACTACAGTCCTTCACCTCCTGGAGCAAGAGCTTGAGGTCCACCTCAGTTTCAGCAAGCAAGGTTCTGTCATTTGTATAACATGGGTTGTTGATGAATGTTCCTCATATACTGATGTCATACTCCTCCTCATCAAGCCCACCCTCCTGAATGATCTGCTCTGCATAGAGACTGAAAAGGTATGGAGACAGGACACATCCCTGATGCACTCCTTTCCTGATTTTGAACCGAGCAGTGTTTCCCTGCTCTGTTCTGAGGACTGCTTCCTGGTCTGTGTATAGCTTTCACATAAGCACAATCAAGTGTTTTGGAATTCCCAATCTCCTCAAGGTTAACCACAATTTGTTGCGAACTACACAGTCAATGAAACACGGATAGATATCCCTCTGGTACTTTTGGCTTTCTGCCAAGACCCATCTAAGTTTTGGCAATAATGCCTCTAGTGCCACAGCCTCTTCTAAATTCAGCTTGTTTTTGATAGTTCTCTGTCAATGTACTGTTCCAGTTGTTTCTGGATAATCTTCAGCAGGATATTGCTTGCCAGTGATATTGTATGATAATTTCCACACTCTGTCAGGTCACCTTTTTTGGAATGGGAATAAATATGGATCTCTTCCAGTCAGTTGGCCAGTTAGTTGTCTTCTAGATTTCTTGGCACAACCCGGTGAGCACGTCCAGGCAGCAGCTGCTTGTTGAAATATGTCAATTGGTATGCCATCAATTCCTGGGAATTTACTTTTTGTTAAGTCCCTCAAAACAGCCTGAACTACCTCCTTCATCACCATTGCCTCTTGATCACAGATTAAGGAAAGAATGTACAGACAAACTGTGGCCACAATAATCTGGATGCAGGGAGTGGCTTGACAAAAGACAGCGGCCTTCCAAAGCAGCATGGTAACATGTTATTCCTTCCCTAAAATGATGATGACCTTTGACAAGTGATGTATATATGATGAACAGATAAGTCATGTGACACACACACTAAGTGGAGCTGGTTTCATAGAAAATAAAGAAACTGGTGTTAGAATGGTATGACAGGGACTTGAACTAAAACAATAGCTACAAAAACAAGTTTAAGTGCACCTCCTGCTCAGGGTGATTTTGAGGATTAAATAGTAAAAGTAGCTAAGGGGGAAGCTGACACAACAGACTTTCAATAAATACAAGCTTCCTTCAATTCACAGCTAAGAAGGTTTTAAAAAATTCATTCTGGCTTCTGACAATTCAGAAGGATGATTTGTCTCGAATTAGTGACAAATGAAGGTCAGCTTTACAAATGATCCCATTTTTGCCTTATCTCATGGAGCAAAACTGTGTGTGTCTATGCCCATAAAACATATCTTCATGACTTAAGAATTCTTCTCTTCCAACACAGGCTTATTTCTCTAAGATGACCCTAAAGGGTAAAGATACTGTAAATATTTACATTCTTCCCTCCTGTGCCTAGGACACACCGTTTCAGTTTCACAGTACAGCAAAAACCATTACGAAGTCTAGGAGTAAAGATTACAGTTGAGCAAGTACACTCACCAAGTGGCTGCTATGAAACATTTACCCTGAGTCCTCAACCTCAAAAGGGCAAAGAGATACTCTGTCAATTCAAGAAGGCAAACACTAAGGTCTGATGTTCGTGCACAGGCACTGCTCTTTATGGCCTCACATTTCACCTCCCTGCAGAGCCTGGCTGCCTTCATCTTTGACCTTCAAGCGTTCACCTACTAAATGGTAGCATTCACTTTTACCTCATAGGCCCTGACCTAGTGGCAGAAGAGTGGAACGGCAGGCTAAACCAGCAGGAGAAAGGAGAGGAAGAATGTACCTTGATGGCGAGAGATCTCTGAACTTATTCTGCAGGTTATGGATTTCACTGAAGAGTTCCATGTTCAAATTCTGCTCCTTCTGCAGCTCATATTCCTGCTCTACCAGCTGCTGTTCGAGGTTCTCCAAGATCCCGCCATCAATCGTCTCTGGGGCCACAGGATGAAGGATTTTCATGTGTTTCACGTAATGTACTTGGTGCAAACTGGAGAAGGTCAATTCTTCATCTTCAATGTTGCCCTCAGGCTTGTTCAAGCCTTCCTGGGCCTCTTCTGTCCCACACAAAACAGTGATAATGGCCTCACTGCACTGGGAGTGCTTTCCTGATTGAAGCTGAAGTAGAAAATTCTGGTAGCCCTTGAGCTCAGTTTCTAGGTCACAGATTTTCTGTTTTAAGTATTCTACGTCGTTGGAGGCCTCAGTATGCTCAGACTGATCAGTCTCAATCTCGCTGACTTTAACAGAAAGCTGGGTCTTAGAACTCACGCATGGAGAAGTTACTGAAGTTGTACGCAGACAGGCTTCGGAAGGGTTCTCTTTGAATGCTGGCAAGATGGCAAGGTCACCAGGTGGGTAAATTTCAGAGTCTGAAAATCAAATAGATTTCTGTTAGTTTCTTCTGTGGTGAAAAGTCACCACTTCTACAGCCTTCTAACCACTTTACCTGCCTCTAGTCATTCCCATTTAACCCCTCAACCCATTCCCTTCTTGAGAAACTATTCTAAAAAGTGAATTTAATCATGATATTTCCCACATTAAACTTATCAATCAATCATTACCTTGAAGGATCAAATTCTCTACCAAACTTCCTATCAAAGCACCTGAAACTCTCCATGACCAAGTCTGCTACAAGCTTCCAGAACATCTGGTACCACTGAGAGTTACTACTAAATAACTCACAGCCCCTTGCACATACCATACTACTTCCTGCCTCCATGCTTTGTACAAGCTGTCCCCACTGTGTGGAATACCCTTGACCCTCTTCCCTTCTTGGTGAATTCCTACTCATCCTTCAACACTCAGATCGAATTTTCTTTCCTCTGACAGGCCATCTCCAAATTATGCATAATGGTTACTTCCCTGTGTTTCCATAGCACCTTACACATATTGCCCATAACAATAGATTATATCTTGGGTGCTAACTTAGCAATTAGAAGTGGCTTATTTACTTATTACTAGAACATTTTTTTTATTTGGATGTCCCACTCCCTGGCTGTAGTGCAACTTCCTTCACGGCACGGACTTACTCTCCTTTCTCCATATTTTTAGTGCTACACAGTACCTAGGCCAGATCACAAGTCAGTGAAGGTCTGCTCAATACTGAGGGGCTGAGAGGAGCTCCTACCGAGCAATAATCTAAAACCCTTGGCAAGTGAGAGTCTTCTTCCAATTTCCAGGTCTATCAGTTTTCACAAGATGCTACCATGTCCCCCTGAATAAGCTGTTTCACTCACTCAGTCACACAAAAAAATATTTCCTTAGAACTAAACTGAATCATCAGAGTAGAGCCACTCTTGTTTCAGAGACACAGTGGTACAGAAGGAAAAAAAAAATTTACATAGCTTTGAATTCAAAGAAAAGTGAAATCACACCCAGGTATACCATTTACTGTAGGGGAAAAAAAATCAGACTGTGGTTACTTAAGCAAGTAACTTACTCTCACAGCCTCAGTTTTCTCTGTATGTAAAACGAAGAAAGATGTTTCATACCGCTGCCGTGAGGCCCCGCGCTCAGGCCTGACTCCAAACATTGTCTTTATCCACTAAAAACATGCTACTTGTTGCCAATGGAGGAAAACTCAGCTCAGCGTAAGGAGTAGTTAAATACTTAAAAGTCAGTAGAACACAAGAACAAAAAGTAACAATCCATCTTTGAACTCTAACAGGCCTGGATTCAAACTCCGGCTCTGTCCCTCACTAGGTGCACAGCCTCAGGCAGGATGCTTAAACCCTCTGAGTCTTAGTAGCTTCATCTATAAAATGGATAGAAATTCACTAGGATGGTTCTCATGTTTGTTTTCTTTTTAGGATTAAATAGGACAATATGTGAACAAAGATTAACAGAGTGTCTGGCACACAACTGTAAAAGAGCCAGATGGACAACTTTTACTCAAAAAGGATGAGGTGCTCATCTCTGGAGGTAGACACCAAAAGGCTGTGAACCTACAGAAGAACAAGGTGGGCAGGAGGAGCTGAGCTGGACAACTCACCAAAGGGAAGCCACACAGAAACTATCAGGAGGCTATGTTCCCGTCCAAATTCCCAGTTTCTACTCCTTATACTTTTAGTTTCATCCTTATCTCTCTGCTCACAATGCACATTAAATAAAGTAAACCTTTCTGTTTTGGAAAGAGTTGCTACAAACATCCATTTCTGATACAGACTGTAGCCAACTCTCATGGTTACACACACACACACACACACACACACACACCCTCGTCTTCTTGAAACGTCTGGAAGGGTGTGCACTGTAACACATACACTTGGATCTCCACTTTAAACTTGCTCTTTGTAAACACAACAAACCTAAAATTCAGGATGGGATTCATAATCCTGATTTCAGAAATGCCTTTCAAAAGTCTACAATCTACAGAAATCTGCGATTGGTCTAAGAAAGGATCTGATTTATAAGCCCGAGGGTTAGTTTACAGTCTAGCACCTAGCATCTGACAGCCTAACATCAGCTGTCAATGTGGTCCTGCTATTCTCTGCTCAGCAGTCCTCAATAAACAACTCAATAATGGTCTGAAGGAGCTACTTAGGCTTTTCACACAAATATTACTGCAAGGAAGGCTTGAGGAGGGGAATGTACAAGTGATCCTAGAGACTTACCAAGCCCTCAAGGAATTCAACTCTATGCCAAGATCTGTATCAAGGCTTAGTGTAGTTAAGAACACACCCAAGAATCAGAGTGAACAAGCAACAGAGGCCTGGCCAAAGGCTAACAGACTGCCTCAAACATTCCAAATGCTGCTCCCGAATGTATCTATCCTTCCTCTATTTAGGAGTCTCCTGTGTCAGGGGTCCAAAAGCAAGAGAATCCTTAACACTTAAGGCAAAGGTCAATGGAGTGTGGAATTCCCTTCATTCACCAGTTATCTGCAAAGGGAGTACCAAGAAAATGGCATCAAGGGTGTATGTAACACAGTTTCCAGCCTCGCAAAGAGCAGTTACGGAGCATGCCGATTGAAGTTAAGTGTTGGTGAGGGAAAGTGCCAGCACTAGAAGGTCTTCCTTGAAAACTGATACTGAAGCAGAGCCCTAAAGGATGAGGCATCAGCTAGGCAGCAATGAAGGTGCTGTTGGGAATTCAGACAGAGCCGAAAGTACATACAAGCTTAGCAGCATATTCAGAGAAGTGAAAGAAGTTCAGTAACCGGAGAACTGAGAGGGAAAGGGAAACCATCAATCAATCAGAAAGCCTTTATTAATCACTAACTCCTAAGAAACCAAAAGATGTCCCCAGGACCATTTAGTTACGTTATAGAAAATACTGCAGTTCTGGAACGTTCCGCAATTCAGCTAGACTATACTTGATTAACTAGTGACTCTGCCAAAGCCCAGACCACTCCACAAGCACATAGCCATGTGTCTACTGTTCTGACTGGAGGACTTGGGAAGGCAAAGGCCATTGGTTAATATGTACTGGACTCAGGAGTTCTAGATTCAGTATTTCCCTCAGAGACTGGCATCTGCATGGACATCCTGTGACAAATGCAAAAGTCCAAAGAACAGTACTTCTTAAAGAGTATCTTGGATCCAAGTTAAAGATGACATTTTTTTCTCCTTTATTTTTTTATATGAAGGAGAAAAAAATATTCATGGCTGAAAGAAAAGCATAATCATATGTTTATTCCAGGTGAATGGAAACATTGGGTATTTATTTGTACTCATCATGATTCAAAAAAGAAAGGACTACTAATACTTACCTTTGGCCTCACATCTCTATGCTCTTCCACTGACCCACAGCCCGGCCTGGCAACTTCCATAACCAGCGTAGGCTGCAAACTCTCCTCTGACCAACTCTGGTCAGCAACATGGAGACCAGCTTCACACAAGCCTCAATATGCTGAGAAGACTATCTCTGCCATCTGAGAGATCTCCCCAGAGCTCAGTCAACCCAGGACACCCACCAGACCCCAGGCCACTACCTGGTAGAATGGTGTCTGTCCAACAGATCAGTAGGCTCAACAGACAATAAAAATTATCTTTTAAAAAAAAAACCTCACAAAACAAAACCTTGTAACCTGCTCACTAGGCAGGTAAGCTCGAATGAATTCTTTTCACAAAGCCCCTGCTTCCTCACGTGTTCACTGGGTTGAATGTGTGAGTGGGAGTGGGCTGTGGTGAGGTTTAGTAATGATTTTTACATAAAGCATCCTAAATGGTGCTGCCACACTGTAACTGTTAGTACATGCTGGGGGTGAATTCTGACCAGTCTCACAGCTTGTTGGCTGATCGTTGCTGTCCGTTTCCTTGTCTTTCCAGATGCAGGGCATGGTTTTCAGTTCGTTTTGTTCTCCTGGGCTGCTCTGGTAAGCTGCTCCCACACGGGGCTGGGCTACAGGCATTCAGAAAGAGAAGGAAAAAGAAATAAAACCTCTGACTTGAAATTTAGCCAAGCGGCTAAGAACACAAAGCTACAAGAGGGAAAATAAAAACACTGGGGAGGCAAAAATGCAATTTATAAGATAAAATTAATCTATCGAACTGCCATAACAGGACAGAAAGAGCATAAATATACCGCAGCTTGTCTGAAATGGTTTAAGTCTAAGTTCTCAAAATATAGTTCCCCCAAAAAAATCCCAAACCAAAACAAACCTATGAGTGAGATAATGAATTCTACAGACTCATGCTCCCTTTCTTTAAGGAAAGCATCCCCGGGGGTCTTCTGGACCTGGCAGCCGTGGAACTAACAGCTGGCCAAGGCACCCTGGGGTCTCAGCAAGAAGCAACAACAGTGCAAATGGCAAAGTCCTAGCAAAGTACCAGAGCCTCTGCTGGGCTGAGTCACCTTTGCCATAACATCTTTCCTCTCTGAAGGCCCCACTATGGTTGACATTAAATCATTTGACTTTTTGTTCCCTCACCCACACCCATCTCCCTCAACTCATGCAGAAAAGAAATTCTTGGAAGTAGACTGTCTGGTTCAACTCCTTCTCTCCTATCACCAGAGCAGGAGGGAGGGCCACAGCGGGCACCTGAGAAGGACTCCCCGGATGCATGAATTGATGCCTAGATGGATGGATGAAGAAATGTATGGAAGGTGGGAAATGAGGGATGTGCCGTGCTGCCAAAGGCCAACTTAACCCGAACCTGAATAATGATAAACACAGAGAAAACCTAAAGTTAAAAGGAAAATACATCTGGTTCCAGATCAACATAAAAGACACAAAGTATCATGGCCAGACTGTATGAACCATTAAAGAGCACAGGCTTTGACATCAGGCAGCTGGATCAATCTAGCCTTTTATAGTGTGTCCTTAAGCCCAGTCACTTTATCTCACCATTTCAACAGGCGTAATTACTGTGCCTACCTCAAAGAAATGTTGAGATGATTCAATTAGATCATGTAACACAGAAATTCCTTATGACCCAGCTAGTCCACTGCTTGGAACATACCCTGATAGAATGAGAACTGAAGTACAAAAGGAGACTTGTACACCAATGTCCATAGCAGTGTTATTCACCATCGCAAGAACATGAAAACAGCCCAGATGTCCAACCACAGTCAAATGGATTGAGAAATGATGGTACATTCACACAACGGAATACTAGGAACAATGATTTTGTAAAGTATTACCTAACTTGGGAGGGACTGGAGAGCATTATGTTAAGTGAACTAACTCAGTCCCACAAGGACAAATACTCTATAAAACCATTATTGTAAAATGAGTACGAGGACCCAAAAGGGGGAAGTGAGTGAGCAGAGGGGTGAGGATGGGCTGGAGGGAGGGGTTAATCATAAAGTCGCACAATTTGATGGCAGGGAGAAGGAAATGGGAAAGATCTGGTATGAAAAACAATTTAATCAAACTTTGTAAATAAACCAGTATTTTAAAAAAATATGGAATATATTAGGTTTCAACAAACAAGAGTTGTCAATTTTATTATCACAGGAAGCCCAGACTCCCAAACCATGGGCCATCTCTGGAAATCCTCTAACCTGTGGCAATCCCCCACACCGGCACTCGGCACTTTCACTGACAAAACTCCCTGGACATGCATCTCGCCTTCTTACTCCGAATGAACCAGGACATCGTTTGTCCGGCAGGCTGTTTCTTTCTCAAACCCCTGACCACATGCACTGGAAAGGGTCTAAGCGTGCTTGGCTCGACACTACCCCATCATTCTCTGCTCCCTAAAATCTCAAGCTCTAATGCTCATGCCCTCAGGCTGTACCACCAACTACCCATCTCACTGCTGTCATCCACTTACTGTCTTCAGATTCATTGAGGATTTTGCTTCGAACTGCCCTATTCTTCATGATAATTTATCTCTTTATGACAAAATTTCTCTGTTGTCTACTCGTGCTATCTCCAAATCCTCTTCCATTCTCCCTTGAACTCATGCCAATCAACCCCTGCTCAGGTAACTGAAAGAAGTCCTTTCAAGGTCAGCAAAGAAACCCACAGAGAGAGATAAATCAATCCAATGGTTGAGCCTCAATCCTTACCATGCTTATCCTGCTAACAGTATTCTACACAGCTAATGAGTGTCTTTCTTTACTCAGATACTCAAGTTTGATTCTCTCATGGCTCCCCTCCTATCTCACTAGCTGCTGCTTTGTCAGTCCAACCTCTAACTGCTAGTGAGGCCCAGGCTCAGTATCCAGATCTCTTCTCTATCTATATCTACTCTGTCTCCGAGTTTCACATCTTAAAATCCCAGTCATATGTTACTTTTTCCTAAGTCTGTATCACTATTCTCCAATTCAGATTCATCTATCCCCAAATGCCCACCAGCACCACTACTGCAATGGTTGATCGACCCAAAACCCACTACCACACAGGCAGTTTTGACTGAAAATAGCCTTTCAGCAGTTTCTGAAAGACATGTTTACCGGAGAGTGTTAATATCTTTCTCCTGCTAAGCAGCTGATGGTTTTGAACTGCCAACTTTTCCATTAGCAGCCCACTACCTTACACACTATGCCATGAGGACTCCTTAGGATGATCAACAGGCATCTCAAATAGTCCAAAACCAGGGATCTGTTTTCAAAGCCTGCCTCCGTGCTTCCTTTCTCATCTTCATGAATGTAACTCTAACCCTTCCAACTAATCACATTCAATGTGCCCCTTTAGCAGGGATCACACAGGCTTTGACATCAGGCAGCCTTTAGTAAAAGTGTGTCCTTAAGCCAAGATGCTTTATCTCACCTATGCAATGGGCAAAAATTACTGGGCCTGCCTCAAAGGAGTGTTGGCAGGGAGCTCTGGTGGTCTAGTGGCAAGAAGCTGCACTGTAATCCCAGAGGTACACGGTTCGAATCCACCAGATGCTCTGCTGAAGAAGGAGGGGCAATCTCCTCCTGTACCAGTCAGATCTGATTTGACGGTACACACACACACACACACGATAAAATAAAATTTTAAAAAATTTTTTTAAAAAACGAATGTTGGCAGGATTCAATTAGATCATGTATCTAAAATATTTGGAATATATTAAGTTTCAACAAACAAGATTGTTCATTTCTCTCTTGGTTAAATAGTAAATGCTTTAAACTTTGTGGGCCATTCAACTCTGTCATCATGGCAAACAAACAGTCACTGGACATATGTAAATGAACGGGCTGGCTACGGTCCAATAAATATATATGTAGAAAAGAGGCCACAAGTAGAATTAAAAAAACAGGCATAATTTACCAGCTTCTACTTTGACGTCTAAGGCATGATCATGTAACCCCCTTCTGCTCACAGCCATCAAATAGTTCTCAACTTTATCCTGAGTAAGAGATGAGTCACAGGCAACGCGACAGCACCTAACAACAAGAAGAAATAAAGCCCTAGAATGTTCTATGAAGCCCTACATCATCTGGTACCTTACTGACCTCACTTCTACAACTCTGTCCATTACTCACTCCACTCTAGCCACTTAAGTACCTTCTTTATTACTCATCTAACTTTCCAAGTTCAAAATAATATTAGTATCTTTGTCCCAGTTATTCTTTCTGCTAGGAATGTAATTTCCCAAATGATTAGCTGTTCATGTTCCCCTAATCCCCAGTCCCCATTTAAATGTCACCTCCTCAGGAAGGCTCTCTGACATTCTGTGTGCATTAGCAAATCCCACTCCTATTCCACATGACCTCATAGTACTCATCCTCAGCTCATACAGTACGTATCTGCTTATGAATTTACCATCTCTCTCCTGCCAAAAGAATGTAAACTACTCACGGATTTTGTGTTACTCACCAATGCCTAGAATACTGCTTGGCATGCAACAGATATTTCACAAATAAATATGTATATAGAAATGTTGTTGTTGTGTACTGTAGAATTGGAATCACTAACTGTCCGATGAGTTGTCAAAAGCAGTTAATCACACAGGCTGGGGGGTGGGGGAACGGGGAACTGCCCATCCTTCTGCTGAGCAGTTGGTGGCCTCAAACTGCGTGCCAGGGGATTGCAGTGCAGCTTCTTGACGCTAGGCCACCAGCACTCCCTGGTTTTTGTCTTTGCTTTTGCCTACTACTTTCACTTGCTTACATCAGGAGTCACAGTGATACAAATATTTGTGGATTCATGAACCCACCGAAGACGATATAAAGATCCTAGATGCTTGCATTATTCTATAGTCTTCCAAAGATTCTCAAAGGGCCCAGCCTACTCCACCACCACCTTCAAGATGATTCCAATGCTTGGTGCCCCTCCATCTGGTTTCTGAGGCTGTAAATTTTTACTGGAGGAGACTGTTCACTTTTCTCCAATCAGAGAAATTGGTGGGTTTCAACGACTCAACTTTCTGTTTGCAACCTGGCATGTTATGAACTTTGTGAACTATGCCACCAGGGTTCCTTCTTAAAACCCTCAGAATGCCACTGTCCTAAGCTGGAGAACATTACCGGAGGCTCCTCCTCCAAGTCCACCTCATCCAGACACACTCGTACTGTCCAGGCCCTTAGAGAGCAGAAGGAGTAGATTCAAAGTGAGGAGAGAGGTGGGTCACTTCCGGAGGAAGACAAAAAGTAAGGAGGGTTTGTGGGTAGCTTGGAGGAACACAAGCAAGGATTGCTTTCAGTCCAGTGAACCCCGCAAAGAGGACTCTCATTTAGAACCCCCATGATGCCACAGACTGAGGTTTTTAGACTCAGACAAAGAAAAGAGCCCAATTAAAGCCATCCCTCAACTTGGGCACCTGCGAACAATCCCATGTCAGGGAAACAGTGAGTCCTCAAGATCTGCGAGGCATCCCAAGTTGCCTTCCTCCAGACTCCAGGATAAAATAAAAACAGACCCGCTCTCCTTAGCATGCTACCTCTGTTGTACATTTGTCAAGAGTCAAGATTAACCACGGTAATTCATGAAATTTACACTCAAACTGACAGTAATTCTAAACAACAAGGGCTGACATTTCAGGCAGTTCTGGTGGGTCATTTATCTAGCACGTGAAGAATACATTTTCCTTTGTGCTTACCATTCTGCAGCATTTGGTCCGATGTTGGCTTCCCTTCCATCATGGCTTCAGCCAGAATTAGCCGTTGGTGAAGTTGTTTGTTTCGAGTTTTAAACTCCTTCAGCTCTCCCTTCAGCTCCATGATCTGGCCCTGCAGCTGGGTCACCACTTCCTGGGTGGCAGAGGGCGGCAGATACATGCTTCCTAACGACTGGGAAGGTTTGAGGAGAACTGGCAAGCGAGATTTCTTAGCATCCTGAAAATACACACATGTACAGCAGTGAATATGCTTCCTTCAGTTGTACTGATGCCACTCACATAAAGCTGGAGTCAAACTGGCTGCCCAACTGGTTCTTAGAAAGTTGTCTGTATTTTCTCCCAGCCCACACAGTGTCAGCCTTTGCAGGCTCCTTCTGATCGACAGCTACAAAGCTTTTCCTCCTTGGCCTTCTCCTGGCCCTGGTACACTGTTTCGCTGCTTGTTCCAGGTGTTCAATATATGCTACCAAGTACAGCCAACTTCAACTTGTGTGTCAGAACTGCAATGCACTACACTGAGTGTTGAGGGCTAATTTTTACTTCTCAGAAGTAGCTCATCAGTCTTTATTTTTAGAAGCAGCTCTGGGTAGATTCTAACTTCCAATCTCTCAGTTAATTGCAAAGCCTATAAGCACCATTTGCACCCCCCAGGGACTCCTGTTCAGTATTTGGCAATCCTTTTTCTTAGCATGATCTTCTGGGGTACACTGCCATGTTTCCTATCTTACATTTTCTCAGTTCCCATTCACTCCTCATGCTAAGCTGATCTGCCTGCCATCGCTGCCTGCCAACTAGAGCCACGCCTTACTTCAGTGGCTACATCAGTAGATGTTTCCTAGGGCAGAGCACGCAGCCTGTCCACCCTGGACAGCGTCATTTGTGATGGCTCAAAGGCACTTCCAAGTCAATGAAAAATTCAAATCTCAATTGCTCCTGTGTCTGTATGTTCACTCCCAAAACTACACTACTTCAACATTCTCATTCTTGATCAATCACTCTATTAATGTACCACCTAGAAATCGGGAGCCATCAGTGAAGTATTTTCACCACCCATTTTCATCACTCACCAACCAAGTCCCACTAGTTCTACCCCCAAAATTATTTCTCAATGCTTTCCACTGTCCTCATTCTAGCCTCAAGTCACTGGAATTTCTCTGCCAGTCCACTGCAACTGTCTCTTTCATGTTCTCCCCACATTTACTCCTGTCCTCTCTAATCCACTCTCCACACTGAAGAGAAACAAAACAAAACACCAAATCTATTATTTTTTTCAAAATACTAACTTTATAACATTTATTTTGGTCTTTATTAGACGCAGTGGCTCATTATAACTGTTCTAGTAATTTGGTTAATTTGGCTTTATTTTCTTTTTTTTAATGTGATAATGAACAAAAGTTTATATAGCAAATTAGCCTTCAATAGTCCATACATATAGATTCCATGACTCTGATTACAATTCCCACATCATAACAGCACTCCTCTTATTTCCTCCCAATGTTTCTTGTTTCCACTCATCGTTCTTTCCTAACACTCCCAGCCTTCTGAGCTGTATCACTGGGCATATGCTGCCCTTTTATCATGTATGGTTGATTGTTCTATGGAGCATGTTCCTCTCTGGTATTACTGATCATCTTATATGCCTACATACTGTTTGCTAGAAACTGAATCCCAAGGGAAGGGTGACAAGAAGTCATAACCTTGTTATGACCTGGGGGTTCTGCCAGTCTCTATCATAACAGTGAAGCCTGGTCAATTTTATGATTTTGAGTTTGTTCTCTCTTCTGCTTAAAATGGTTTTCATTGGAAGGTGGAGAGATGGCAAAAGACAGGAAAGCTGACATGTGACTGCGGCAATGGGCTCGAGTGAGTTCCAGATTGTGAGCACGGCATGGGGTAGGACGGTGTTCACATCAGCTGTTCACAGGGTTGCAAAGAATTGTACTCGTCTCAACGGCACCTAACAACAACAACAGTTGCCATATAGCAATGGTCAGACTCCCTAGCATAGCTACAAAGCCCTGTCCAAACTGCAGCCTGATATACTTACTGCCTGCCCCTCTCTCACCCTAACTTCCAGCCACACTCATACTGACTTTCTGTCAGTTCTTGAAGTCATATTGCTTTCTACCTCATGACACTGGCTTATGCAGTGTGTCCCTTCTAAAACTTTTCCCCCCAAATAACGCCTAAGACTCAGTTTAAACATCCCTTCCTCAGGAGAATGGCCTTTACTTTCTAAGAGCTCAGGTCTCCTCATTGTACATACTCACTGCCCCTTATAATTTCATAAACACCATTATCATTAAATGCCTGTGCAATTACTTTATTATCTGACCTCTGAAGCAGCCTGTAAGCTCCAGTGTTGAGGATCTCTACACATCTAAGTGACTTATATCACAGCTTCCAGCACAATGACTAGCACACACCACAAACTTCACTATTATTTATAGAGTCCACAAAAACAGGACAAATGGAGGCATTTTTCAAGCAGGTTGCCTGATAGAATGACAAAAATGTTCTAACGCTGGTTGTGGTAATGGTTGAACAATCTTATGAACATACCAAAAGCAAATGAATGATACAGTTTAAATAAGTGAATTATCTCTCAATAAAACTTTTTTAATAAAAAGGAGTAAAAACCTGAAAGGAAAACAGGTTAGGACCCAGAGAATAAGAAAATCATCAAGACTGCTCAAAATAACGAGCAATTTGAATTGACTTTTCAATATGGTGGGATGTAAAATATGCATTTTCAAGTAAGTTCCGCATTCTCAGAGCTTAAAGGATAGAAGTTATCATGCCTGTTTTCCAGAAGAAGAAACTTAGATGTCAAATAACTAGTAAGGTAACAGTCAGATCTTAAACTAGATCTTGAGATGCAAGGACTCAGAGTTCAGTTAGGAGAAGCTGAGATACTTTCTGCCCTGATATTCCAGAGTAGGTGTGGGGAAAATGTGTTCAAGGACAGGAACAATGGAGATGGCGAGAGGGACCACCAAATGCGGTGATGGCGAGAGGGACCACCCGAATGAGCTGATGGCGAGAGGGACCACCCGAATGAGCTGATGGCAAGAGGGACCACCCGAACGTACTGATGGCAAGAGGGACCACCAAATGAGCTGATGGCGAGAGGGACCACCAAACAAGGTGGATGCTCCATTATAAAGAGTTAGAGAGTAACTGTCATTTGCTTGGTCTTCATTCTCCACCAATCTTTATTCTTGGATGCAAATCTGTGTGTCATATGGCAAGAGAAAAGATATCTGCAAGTGCCCAAATGCCAAAGTCAATTTCAGTCTGGAAGGCTGCCGTCAGTCAACCTAGTGTCGCTTCTAAAATAACACCAAAGAAAATGCTACCTTATGGGCAGTGAACAGAGTCCCCACCTACCACCTTATTAAAGATGCAATAATGAAACTTTTAACTCGGGAGGGCTTGAAGGGAGGCAGGAACTCAGTGACACCACCCACCAAGTACTATGGCAGTTCACCAGGTACCTGTCACACATCATCCCAGGAGGCCATCACAGCAGCCTTTGTTTCTAAGTGACGCTGATCCCATTCCAGACACTGAGAGAGCCCAGATGACTTACCCAAGGACTCAAAGCAGCTGGGTGGCCTGTTCTGGGGGTAAACTCAGTGTCTTACCTTTATAATTAAACAACTGGAAGCATATTCAGTCTCCTTCTTGCTCCTTTAGCTTTTGAAGATTCCTTTTAACAGGACAGCAGACTTCTGACTTTAGATTCCTAATTTCTCCACTAACCAAAGTCCTCAAAGAAAGTCACATTTCCCCCACTTTTCAGAGACTGGAGGTCATGTTGGTGGCTTGAGAACTCCTCATTCTCTGAGAATAGTAACTTCATAAACCCATCTTCCTCTAAAGCCAGAATGCCGTTTATATCCTAAAAGCTCCAATTACCAGCTGAGTCACCCTGGACAATTTTCTGTGCCTCCGTTTCCTCATGTAGAGGACACAGATAATGCCCATCTGACTCATACTTGTTGAAAACATGAAGTTAGATAATATTTGTACAGAATATGTGACACAATGCCTGGCACAAACAATGCAGAGAAAGAAAGAAACCAAAACACAGAGGCTTTCCTCTTTAAGGCACAAGTAAAAAGGATGACTTCAAACTAAAAAAGAAAAGAAAAATTCCCTATATTGGGGGAAGTTAAATTTGTTCAATTATCCAATTTTCTTGAACACAAGATGACATCTCCCATGGAGGGATGGGGGTGGGGAAAACCTCCTAGGTTCCCTAACAAACACACACAAACTGAAGGAGCTGGGGCAGAAGAGAGCATTCCTATTCTAGCCAAATTGCACAAATTTGCATCTCGAATACCATTAATATAATGGCAGTGTCTTTTTCTCTCTTTTCCTACTGATATCTTTAGAAAACCCTCTTCTAGAAATTACAGTTTTTGGTGCATAATTTAAAACAACCACAGCAATTTTGCTAATGATATATCTAACTCTCTTTTGGTATGCACAAAAGCAGTAATTTAGTGGTCAGAAAATAAACTTAATTCTCCATTCTGATGCTATGAAGCAATGTGTACAGTTGATTTCTCAGATACAAAATACCCATCAGAAAAAGGAACACCAACCGCCATTGCTGGAATCTATTAGAAACATGACCTATTTCTTACAGGAACACTCACCATCTCTCTGCTTTGGGGATTCTCATTCCCAACCCCTCCCAGCAAGAAAGTTGAGTAAGAGAAGCAAACAGTGCTAAGAGAGTTTAATTTTCCAGGGTGCATACTGATGGCATTTTAGGAGATGCTTACAAGAGATACAGTATCTTGACTGATGCAAAATAAACACACAGATATTCACACAATTCAACAAGATGCTATCACTCTGGGCCACCACGGTTGGAAGGCAGCTGATGCAGGGAAAGGGTGTGCCCATGGAGCGTAGCTTAGTGAGAGTGCCAGCATGAGCCTTTAACCACCATCTAACAAGAAGAGCATCGCTGCGGTTTTAGCTTCCTCATCTCTAAGAAGCACTGGAAGGCAGTAAAAAGATGCAGACAAAATCCTCAGGGGAGTATCCATCAGTCGCAAAGTCTGAGCCAAATATACCTGAGGTTCTTGCCTCCACCCCTGAAGTCAGGTTTCTGATGATTTTATTATGATGTATAAAAAGTAAATGTCTACCAGAAGGTAAGAACTGTACCAGTTTGGGCACATCCCCACAACAGAATCTCATCCAGACATCACAGATTTATAATGTGAAAGAGAAAGATGAAGACATGGGGATAACCATGATTCTATTTTTACAAGAAAAATAGCTACATGAGGTACAGACAAAGGAGATGACGATGCAGTGGGAGAGGACAGTCAGAGGGGTGGGGAAGAGGGAACAAGGTGGCACTTCAGGGAAGGTGAGAAGGATGCATCCTCTAGGTGGAAGACATGGATAATTCAGGAAGGAGGTGACACTAGACCTTCCCATTATAGAAAATAAAAACTGGATTCAGATGCGAAGTGAATTTTTCAAAACAGAACTGTTTGTCATGACATTGTTAGGTAGCATCAAGTGGAGTACACTCCTAGCTACCCTAAGAACAACACATCTGAACCTGGTCCTGTCCTGTGCCATCTTCCCCATCTCTGACACACGTGAGCTAACTGCTGTAGTCACCGTGTCAATTCATCACCTTGAGGGTCTTCCTCTATTTCACTGGCCTTACATTAAGAGCGTGTAAATGTAAACACTGTGACACTGATGTGCCAAATGTGATAACGGTTACCCATGGCAGACAGTGTTTGGTGGAGCTTCCTGATTAAAATAAGCCTGGAAGCAGCAGTGGCATCCACTTCCGAAATGGCTTGCCTCCGGATACTCTATGAACAGTGCTCAGGTCTTTCAGTCATAGGGTCACTATGAGTCGTCTGTGACTCGATGGCACCTAACAACAACAACAAATGTAAAGAAAGATGAAGAAAAAAAAGAAAAACTTACTTTGCTGATTGCACTTGGGACAGAAAAGGGAGTGATATTCTCTTGCTGATGCTCAGCATTCAACATAGTATCTGTTGGTTTTCCTTTCCACGGCTTTCTTATTCCTTCATGTGTGAATCGGACAGTGTCACCCTCCATGATCAGGGTCTGCACCGAGGCGTCTTTCAGCTCCACCTTGGACATTTCACTCATCTTTATTTTCTGGGCCTCCCAAGGTGACGGCCGCTCATCCTGAGGCTTGGAAAATGAGTTGGCTTGGATGAAACGTCTGAGTTCACCTCTCAGTTGGATGGCCATTTGCTGAAGTGACGTCTTGGTTTTACCATCACGTTTTTCTCCAGAAACTTTCTGCTCTTTCAAGTACATTTGTTGCAGAAGTAGTTTGTGCAATGTTTGCAGAAGATCAGGCCTGTTTTTCCAAAATGGAAGGAAGTGGGACAGTTAAGTTTTCTGGCAAAGACTTACCTCAGTATAAAAACTTATCCCCTGCCCAGTTCCTCAAGGTTCCACCAACTTTTCTCCAGATTCTATCTCAACTAAGCACACTGAGCTCCCACCATGAGCTCATACTAAGTATTTTCCCCCCAGATAACCTCAAGACAACAATACAAGGTAGGTATTACTAATTTAAAAATAGCAGAAGTAAAATTAATTTAACACAAGGTATAAAATAATGGCCAAACCGAAAGGTCAATCAGTGCCCTCTGGCCAGTCATGGACACAATCAGTGCTCAATGAGTAGGTGGTGAGTGAAGAGATGCCTGTAAACAGACCAAACAGGAAGGAAAGCATGGGGGTTTTGAAGTCAGACAAAAAAAAAGGCTTAAAATTCTGTCCTTCTATGAAAGGAAGTCTCCCTCTATAGTCTTCTTCTACTTATTAAATTGTGATAATTCAACATAATAGTCTACCAGCAATGGACGTTTTGCATGTCCTTGACCATGTGCCCTTGGCCCACCTCTGATTTCAGTTGTAACCAAAGGCTCCTCCAGCCGTCACTACATCGCGTTGCTGCCATGGGCATTTCTCCAAAGCTCTCTGAGCCACACAGCAGTGCAGTGTGCTTATGTGGACCAGCTTATACCTCTGAGGGGAGAAATCCTCAATCACTGAGGAAGAAAGTTGGCGGGCCAACTCTAAAGCCTTCCAGCTTTAGAGAGGGACAATCTACCCAGTCCCAGTGTACTCATGCAGTGCCCAGCCGGATTAGTACCGAGCTCTGCACAGGAGCAAACCCTTCTTGGTTTACCTTCATCCATTATCTTACTCTCTTTGATGTCTTAATCTTGATCTCTGGCATCACATCCCAATAAAAGAACTTCTACCCAAATTCTTATCTCAGAGTTGGCTTGTGAGGAATCCAACTAAGTCAGTGTATAAAATACCTGGTGTGGTGCCCAATGTGGAGGAGTTCATGAAGACTAGTTTCCTTGTCAGTGGGTTTCCTGGGCCAGGCACTGTACTAGGCTCTGGTGATACAAAACTCACGAGGACTGGTATTGGAATGGGGGCATGTAAACAGGTCATTATTCCACAGGTAAAAAGGTAAACACATGTGGTGTGGAAGTAGGGGTGAGTTTCCTGGGGTGCTAGTGTTTAAGGAGAATAGCAGGAAAGGACTTAGCGAGGTGATAAAGGGTTGGCAGGGTAAGGTGGGATGAAACACTCTAAGTATGAGAAACAGTATGAACAGGGGTCAACAGTGTAAAGAATAAAAGGGTGAGGTTGGAAAGTTAGACAGGAATAACCCAAAAAGCGTCTCAGCAGTGAAGCTAAGGGAAGAGGAGCTGGCTGAAGGCTCTCTTAGACGCAGTGGCACAGTCACTGTGTAGAGAATGAGTGCAGGATGAGATTTGCTGTCAAAACGATGGTGTAAATACACACAACAGTAACACCACCCACCTACCGCCACACACCCACACACCGCTCTAATCATTGTGAATGATAGCAAGAAAATATTTTAAGGTGAACTTTGTGATTGTTAGTTGCCATATGTTCCAATTCCTGATGACCATATTTTTACAACAGAACAAAATGTTACCATTTTCATGGTTAAGTCCATTGTTGAAGTTACTGTGTCAATTTATCTCACTGAAAGTTTTCTCATTTTTCACTGACCAGCCAAGATGGCTTTTCTAAGGACTGATCCTCCCTGATGACATATGGGACTCAATCAATATTAAACTATTCAAAACCAGAAACAGGGAAAGAAACGATAGCCAAGAGAAGAACTATCACTTACTCATTCACTTAGTGCTATCGAGTCAGAACTTAACTCACAGCTGACCCTCCAACACGTTTTCAGAGTCTATAAATCATGCGAAAGAGACTGCCCATCTATCTCCCTCAAAGCAAATGGTAGATTCAAACTGCTTGCCTTTGGATTGGCAGCGCAACTCATTACATGATAGGCCACCAGAGCCCCCTAAAGGAACTACTGCTATTGTTGTTATGTGTGTCGTGTCATGAAGGATGAAATAACGGTAGAAAGTGGAGCAGAGGGTTGATAATACAGGCAAACTGAACTTGCAAATACAATGTACCATTATGAAAACAAACAACAAATTAGGAATTCGCCATTAAGATAATAGAAATAACAAAGTGACCTGAAAATATTTTTATAAGAATATTTAAATAATAAAGAAGAGAAATGTATTTATAAAAAAAAGGCAAGTATGATATTAAGACAGGAACACACTGGAAAAAAAGAATGCAAGCCGTTAACAAACAAGCAAAGAGACAAGTTAGAAGGCTTTACTGTGAACCTCCACAAGAAGGTGTGGCAGTGAACAGAAAGAGACAGGTTCTCATCAAAGGTAGTTCTTTTTTCCTGTTTATCTTATTCCAAGAAACCTCCTGATAGATGTAGTCAAACTGGATTCTATGAGCTTCTTTAGCATACCCTGGCTTTGCCTTCCTCCACACTAATGTTCTACTAGAACCTTTCTGACCTGTCCTGTCTCCATATCTTTATGCATCCTTATTTTATCTTCCCTACAGTCTCAGTACAGCAATAAAACCTTTTTCCTATAAGGATCACTATCATCTAACACATATTGGTGTATATTGTCAAGTTGGAATCGACTTGGAGTTGGCTCTCCTGCAGGTTTTCAGAGGCAGTAAATCATACAGGAGTAGACTTGTCTATATTTCTCTCAAAGATAAGATGTTGGATTTGAACCATATAGTTTTGGGTTGGCAGTGTAAGCTCCTTATCCCTAAGCTACCAGAGCTCCATCTAATTTCATAGGAACTATTAACACAACTCAAATGAAAAAGCTTCAGTTCACTGAAGTGATGTTTTATAAGAAAAAAATATAAAGTCTCTGGTACATTTTTCACTTCTACATGAGATTAAGGGACAGGGAGGCCCAGTGGTTAAGTACTCAGCTGCTAACCAAAAGATTCACAGTTCAAACCCAGTAGCCTCTCCAGAGGAGAAAGGTGTGGCAACCCCTCCCCATAAAGGTGACAGGCTAGGAAAGTCAGAGTTCTACTCTATCCAACAGTCACTACCAGATGGAATCAATTTATCACCAATAGGTGGTGGGGTAGAACATGGAATTATTTAGACTACATAAACCCTCTTAAACCAAAGGGAGTTCTGGTGGCTTATTTTGTAGGGAGTTTCACTACTATCTAAAGGCTATGCCTCTCTGACAATTCGAATCCACCAGCTCCAAGTTCAGGAGAAAGATTGGCAATCCCCTCCCATCCAGCGAAAAACCTCAGAAACCCAATGCTGGGCCAGTCTGACTCAATGGCAATGAGTAAAAACTACCTTAAATCCAGACTTTAAAAATATTTCTGCCATTTCTCTACCATCAATAGATGGGAAACTAAATTTTTCTTCCTTTTTCATCCCTTAATATAGATTAAAAATAATGACAATTGTTATTCAGCTAGCCAAAAGAGACTCTTTAGTCACCAACAAACAACACACAATCAAACCCAGGAAAGAGCTTTATAAATGAGTAGTAAAGGTGGAGAAAGAGGCCATTATAATATACTAAAGTGCTGGTACTCTTAAATAAAACATTTCAAGTGTTACTTTCCTAGAAATCTGAACAATGGATTCATTAAGCTGTCACTATAATCAAGACCTTTTTAATAGTTCAGTCCACGGTCTTGTCAGAGGCCCAAATAATATTTACACACCCTTGCCAAGCATCTCTGCCATGGAGAAGGAGTAAGCAAAAACGGACTGGCATTTGCCAAGCACTCACCATGCGGCAGATCCCTTAAGTACCCAAAACACATTTAATCCTCACAATAAAACTGTGAGACAGAGACTGCTATTAACTACATTTTAGAGATGAAAAAGAGGCTCATAAAGATTCAAGACCCCCAGCAAAGTGGCAAAGCCAAGGATGGAATTCAGACTCTTCTGAATTCACACTAAGTGTTCTTTGCACGTCTCTAAATTAGCTTCTGCCCTCATGATGAATTTGAAACACTTTGCCAATTCATTCAAGCATTTATTGTGTGCTTTCTACATATCACGAAGGTAGTTGGAATACATGTGAGTCAACAGTCTTAGTCTTCAGGAAGTCTGAACTTTAAAAACAAAAGTCATTCACTTATTTATTCATATATACATATACATATACATATAAAACTAAATAAAACAATCAAAAACCAAACAAATCTGTTTGGGGAAAAGTAAAACTAGGTTGCTCCTTAGAGGCAAACATGGCAAAACTCTGTCTCACATACTATGGACTTGCTGTCAGGAGGGGCCAGTGCTTGAAAAAAGACATGCTGGGAAAGGCGGAGGGTCAGAGAAAGAGAGGAAGGTTCACAAGGAGATGGACTGACACAGTCACTGCAGGGTTTTGATCTGTTAATCACAGCCCTGCTATGAGTCATAGTCAACTTGAGGGCACCTAATAACAATAACAAAAAGGTAATGATAAAACCTGCTGCCACTCAGTCAGTTCTGACACATAGTGACGGTATAGGTCACAGAGCAAGCTGTCCCACAGGGTTTCAAGATTATAATATTTATGGAAGCTGACAGCCACATTCTCTTCTGGAGTATCTGATGGGCCTCAACTGCCAACCTTTTAGTTAGTAGTCAAGGGCCACTCTTCCAGAACTCCTTAATAGGTTAAGTACTATAAATTGGGAGGGGGGAGGAATAGTCTTGGATAAAGTACATGAACAGGGGTTTCCTTTAGACACAGTGGCTGTGAAGATTCTATGTGAAGCAGGTTTCTGAGTTGAGGCACTGCCAGTCACATATGTTTGTTGCTGTTATGTGCCATCAAGTTGCCTGCAACTCATAGCAACCCTATGTACAACATCCCTGCTTTATCCCTTGCCAATCTTATTGTCTCCAACACACCTACCCCCAATACCCCAGTCACTGAATCAATCCATCTCATCGAGGCTCTTCTTCTCTTGTGC